TGTTAGTGAGCTTTAGGGTTACTGGTTATTTTGTTTAACTTCGGACAAAGCCAGGCTAGCTGTTTCCATCTGCTCCCAGTCTTTATGCTAAGCTAACTAGCTGCTGGTTGTAGCTTCATATGTATTGACAGACTTAACCCTCTGAACCCCAAGTAGTTTTGGGGCGTTTTTGGCTCCTGACACATTTCACTCTTTGTGGCCTTGATGTTCACGCAGTATAGAAGTACAGAAGTACTGCACCTTTATAGAAACAGCTCAATCATGGCTAGAAGCAGAGATAACAAAAACAATTACTTTGTGCAGTATAACATAGTTACCATGCCATAAATTATATATAAACAAATGCAAGTTAAATTTATTTGATAATCTATAATAATTTTAATTTAATGCAACCGATTGGTAATGCAGGCTTTCTCTTAAAAATGCATGGTCTCCAAGTTTAACTGAGGTACCTCATGTCAAGTCACTTTGGTCATTTTCGCAGACTTGACAAAGCTCTTGCAGTCACACAAAACTTCATATGACAAGCCGAGTAGTGCTCTTTGTGTCTAGTAAATAGAAAATTGGTGGAGTTCCCCTTTGAAGCACACCAATTCATCACATGCAAACTCAAGAAAAGCTAAAAAGAAATGCTTACATCCGCACCAACACCTTGCATCTGTGGCAGGTTAAATGAAGCACACGTCCTGTTGAGGTTATGGGAAAAGGAGACTGTTAAGAAGTTTGAACCATTTGTGAGAATAGAGTCTCTGGAAACCAGTGGAGAGACGAAGAGAAGATTATGAATGATCTCAGATGGAAAAATAATTAATAAATTACTAGATTGAAGAATTCTTGGGAATGCATATCTTTATAGGGAAATAAAGGAAAAGCCTTAACACTGAAGCTACAGCACATATAACTCTCACAGGATTTCCTCTCTGAACTCACCGCCTCCTCTTGGTTTAAGATATAATGTTCAATGTTCACACAGAAAACAAGCTATTGGCACATTTTTCATGGGCGCAACCCACACACTCAGCTCTGCTGCTCATCCCACAAATGCATGATCCTTACAAATGTGGCACCATTTAAAAGGGAAATAAACAGGCTTTCCAACAGTATAAGATTTATGTAACAAAGAAATAATCTACCAAACACAAATTTCCTTACTTTTTGTGCTATGTTTATATACTAAGAGATACACTGTACAAGATGAAAAATGATACAATTTATTAGCTCTTGTAATAGCAGAAGAACTTAAGAATGTTACTGCTACACTTGCATGTGGCATATGCCCAAAATAATTTTGGGTGAAGTACATTTATTTATTTTTTTCTATTTTCATAGATGGGCAAAAATGATGGGTGTCATGGGAATTTCATAAACTGTTAAATCCAAAAATCTTGATGTGGCCGAATGGGCGAGGGGTAGGTGAGGTTGTTCCACTGACCTCACTGCAAACAGTTTTTGAAGTTTTAGAGAGAAACTGTGTAGTATACTGAAAACTGACCATGCAATTTATTTTATGATGCACACAAAAGCCCTCACATAAGAGCAAAGGATGGGCAATGTACTGTTTAGCGGCATTAATATAGTATCATATATACAGTATATATATATATAATATCATAATATTATACTCGACTATGTATAAAGAAGATATACAACTGTGCTATAGAACTTTTTAGTACTTCCAATATCATTGCCAATACTACTCTCAATATCATGCATCATATTACGTTTCTATTAGGCACTGGTCTTAGTATTACTTCTCACACACTTGTATTTATTCATATGTTGTAATTTACATTTTCTATTTTAGTTAACTTATTTTATTAAATATATTGTACTCTCTTTGCCATTTGCACTGGTGTGAGTATTACTTCTTATACAAATAATATGTATTACTCTATTGTTTACATATACTTTATTGTTTTTTTCTCTTATTCTTCTGTTGTAATCTTTGATCAATCTCTGTCAAAAATTTCCTTTGGAATTAATACATTTCTAAGTTATCTTATTTTAAATACAGAAAATACAAAGGCTTGAGCATTTATTTAGACTGCATGTATTTCGAGGCTTGTGCCTTTCTTGAATTTTGAATTTATTTCTGTCTAACTGCAACAAGCTACTGCTTTTACTTTTTACTACGACCCTCCAGACATGCTTGAATGCAGTCTTGAAAATATTCTTATTTTCTTTCTTGCAGAGTTAGAATACCACCTCTTAATATATATTTTACTAATGCTTTATAGATCAGTTAAAAGTCTTTTATAATAACATCTCATTGCTGACTGATATAAATGTATCTACAAAGTTAAGTTAATAATGTATTAACTATTGATAAAGCTAATAATAACTGCTTATAAGCCCTTCATAAAAGGTTACTTGAAAGTGCTATGTGGTGCCTCACTCCCACTTAAAAAGCCACCTGTGGGTTATATTTTAACATTGCAGATTACATGAGTTAGCTTTTTTTTAATTAATTGAAATGCTCTACCATTAGTTGAACTCTTCGTTTTGTCTCTTCCCCTCTGTCCTGTTCATACAAACTGGTCTACGCTTCCTGTCGGTGACTCCCTCTGGCCCTGAGAACGGCTGCTTACACAGTGTTGCCTGGTGAAGAATGGGACAAATCATGCATACAGCAGGGGGATCGACGGTCAGTCAGTCTGTCAGTTTTAAAGACAGACACACACACACACACATGCATACACAAACACACACTCTCCAGTCTGAGTGCCAGTGATAACACAGCTCAGCGGACCCATCTCCTCATTTCCCGTGTCCTCGTCCAGAGTTGGTTCTGGCACCGCAGCTTCCGTTAACAGCTCCAGCCAGAGACATCAGAGCAGGACAGTGTCCACTCCGAGGTGTGTGACTGTGTCGTCTCCTCTCTGTTCCCATAACCCAGCAGGCCTGCCGCCCCCTCACCCACTGCCGGGCAGGAAAGAGACGGGAATGCATGCGAGTCAATTAACAAACCAGGTGTGTAAAAACCTCAGCGACGCTCCAAGAAGACACTGATGAATGTCTCTCACTTCCCATCTTAGTGTGTCCTTACTTGCCCTCATAAGAACAAGAGGTCAAAAGGTCCGCACTCATCAATACCTCAAATGCTAACATCTATGCACCAGAGTTCAATTTGATTGATCCAAAGCTCAGTGTTCCTCAGACACAAAGTAAGGGTTCACCCAGAGAAATCAATAATTTCCAGCGTTTCACATTAGCCACAGCTCCAATGACTTTGTATTGTCCCAGTCAGCATGAAGGGCACTTGGTAATAAGTGTGGCATACTGATGTGCTATAAGCTGCTAAAATGAAATGTCTAAAATAAGAGCGTACGTCGCTTTCTGTGCTGTAGAAACATGATCTTTAAAAATGTCATCATGAAGTATAAATGTAGATGTTACATTCACCAATGGATGGTCGTCCTGTGCAGTAAGTAAACACTACTAGAAATGGGAGTTATGACAAGATTACTGTATATTTAGTACTGATTTCAGCTATGTGTTACTGTTTTTGTTGTTTCAAATGTAACAGCTGCATTTAAACTGTGTCTCTAACAGAGTATGATGGGACTTAATAAGTGCTGTATAGTTGTTCCTGAGACCAGCACGATCACTTTAATACCGCAGACAAACAGAATCACTGTACGATTACTTCACTCCACCATGAGGCTATTAGCTTGCTTCCCAATAATTACACAATACACCTCCTTGTGTCCTTTCTGATCAAATTCTATCGATTAGATGTCTGCATGAGGAGCGGCATTGTTAAAAGAGGCTGAGAGCCACTGGTGCATCCTCCTCAGCAACACCATTGTTAACCAGATGTTAAGGTGGACTGGAAGGAGATCATTGGGGCCCAATGTCCCGCAGGACATGAAGTCAGTAAAGTCAATTTGGCATTCTGAAAAATAACCTAAACTTAACAATTCTTTAATTTATTACATACACAGTTGCTTATGCAGAATTTACGCTTTTCACTTTTAATTCAGTCTACGATTTATTTCTTCTTTTTTTACTCGTTTCTAGTGTCCGTCGTGAGGAACAACATTCATTTCCCTTCACTGCCGGCCTGAGGTGTATCCTGCACTGATCGCACTCATAGTCACTGTACAGTACACAGGTCAGACATCTTTTCCCCATTTGGCTCAGGTTCCCCACCTTGTGGTAGCAGAGTTTACCGAGTACTAGTATTGCAGCTACATACCTACTGGTGTGTGCTTACTCTACCATAGTTCCTGTAATCTCCTTTATCTTGAGACATATAGACTCCCATGTGTTTGCAACAAAGAGACCACACAATCTATGAAGCAGTTACGGTTTAGTATAAAAAAGGGCAATTAACTATGTACAATGATCAATAGCATTTAACTACACCTACATAAAAACAGACACAAAATGCAAATCTACATTCAATATTTTCTGCAAAAATGAGTAACTTAGACTTCAACTGTAGTAATATCCAGAAAATATCAAAATCTACAAAATCTTAGCTGCCATTAATATGTTACAGAGCTGATAGATGCATAGTTGTTGTATATCATCTACCATGTAGAGATCAAGACATCTCCCACAGACAAGAACAGAAGAAAGGAAAACAAAGTGGTAAAGTCAAAGAAACTGTTACAAAGTAAAGTCATGACGAAAGAGGAACAAACAAACGTAGCTTGTTTACATTCTGAAGCAACAATCAGGGTTTTAAACGCCAAAATACCTTTCTGACATGTCAAAGAGTTTCATTAAAAATCGTTAAAAAACAAGGGATAAAAAAAAAGCAGTGCTTTGAAGAATATCAGCACTTGGAGAGTAACCCACTCATCTTTAACCTGCCTCATCATTTTAGTGATTTATTGTATTTCTCACTTTAAGATACCACCAGAAAATACAATTGTAGTTCTGTCTTTTGCAATCCTGGAAGAAAGTGATCCAACAGGAAACATGAGCGAGAGAGAGAGAGACAAACACCTACACCTACACCCCCCCCCCCCCCCAAAAAAAAAGAAGTGTTAAGTGTTTACTTATAAAATAAATGTGTCTTTAAAAAAAGGATTAATATTTTGTGCATGTGTATATTTCTAAAAATCAATGCCAGACTGTATCAAGCTACTGGACTTGACAGTTGCCTTCTTGTTCTCTCTCGTTCTGCTCCGGCGTCTTGAGTAAACACAGAGAACGTAGTTTCTCCTCGTCACTCGGGGAGACACACTTCCTGTTGGAGCTCTCTGCAGAAGGACTCTGGAGGAGTACGGACCCCGACGTCTGTGGGTGAAGAGCAAGATGAGACCGATGACCACATTAAGAGAGTAAAAGAGAAAAACACAACAAAGTAGAAACAGATTTTGTGACTTAAACACACTGGAGGATTGCCAGTGGAAACATGTCTGTAACAACAATGTATGTCCTTGGATCCCCGGGGATATACGTAGATCGGATGAATGGTGCTGGAGAAATGCAAAGGACAGACCCTCATACAGCAGACAGAGTATAGTTTGATGTTAGGACACACCGTCATACAGCATGGGGTCAGTCAGACAAGTAAATGGGAAAAAAACACATCCTCTAATTCACCGCTGGTTTACTTCAGATGACCTGGACTGACAGTTGAGGAGTCCGGATATACTATTAGGGGCCTGGCAAGCTAAACCTAGAGTCTATGTCCTTCTACTTACTAGGTCCTAGAACGTTGGTGGGAATCATGAACTCTTCAACTCTCGAAAACCAACTCTAAAAGTTCCATCAGATATCAACAGGTAACCTCAAAGATGCTATGTCCATTTCTTTTTAAAGAGTATGATGCGCATCACCGCCTTTATGAGGACATTACCTGGAGAGTTTGTGCTAGTCTGTAAATGAAAAGGCAATTTTCCATTTGCATTGGTTGGACATGTACAGTGCATCCTTACACATTGCTCATGGATGGAGTAATATTAATACTCCACTGATAGATGCATGGTTCTAGCTCTTTATGTAAAGTATCATGCAGGGATCATAAACCTATTCCATAGTCAAATTCAAGCACCTTTCAAGCATTTTCAAGGTGAACAGTGACATGATTCACTGTTTTAAAGACCTTGCAGCGAGTGTGTTCATTGTGTGTTGCTGGCTGTTGGGGATAGATGCCACAGGCTGGAAAAGTATGTGTGTGTGTGTGTGTGTGTGAGTGAGAGACGGTTGCTGCTGCTCACCTTGCCGTTAGATGCAGATGTGGGAGCCGTGTGTCTGGCAGCCAGTCGAGGACTGCAGCGCTTCACTGTGGTTCTCCTCATGATGCATGGACTGGCCTCCCCCAGAGGAATGTCAGCAAAACCTGTCAGATTACAAACAATGACTTGAGAGCAGGTTACTGGTGCTTGTTTCCTAAAAACACTAAATTCTCTCCACCTATGAAGCTCATCACACTCCATCCCACTAGCATGAGAGACCAGACTGACACGGCACATGAAAACACATAAAACTAGCTACTAGTGCCTGAACTACAGTTAAGGCCATCTTAGACCACCAGCCAAAACGTACCTCTCTGCACCAGCTCAGGAAGTCCCTCTGGTTTGAACTCCTCGTCTTTCTGTTCTGCTCTTGGTTTCGGTGTAGTCGCTGCATTGGCTTTGATCTTCTTTGTCAGGTTGTGCAGGGCCTCCTGGGCACCGTCTTTGTTACTGATGTCACGGTGACCTCGTTTCACTGAAGACGAACCCCGAGGAGACCTCTGAGGTGTTGAAGGAGCAACGTTCTCTGTGTTGACAGCCACTTCTTCCTGGTGTTTGGAGGAAGACTTCCTGCCTGATCGCCGGCTAGAGGGGATCTTAGCTTCGTTAACGCGGTGGCTAGCAGTGAGCTGCTCCAGCCGGGTTGTCAGAGCGTCATTAGTCTCTTCCAGTTTGTGCACTTTAACCATCAGGCCGCAGTATTTCTCGATGCTCTCATCTGCCTCGCTGCTTTTCTCCTCCAGGAGTTTATTCAGTTCATCCAACTCACTCTTCAGCATCCCCAGCTCGGAGTTTTTCTCTTCCAACTCCTTCTTCCTTCCATCGAGGGCAGCCTCAAGTTCTTCCACCTCCTTTGTTTTTTCTTCCGCCTCCACCCTCTTCTGCTGCAGGGCAGCGTTCAGGTCTTCCATTTCCTTCTGTCTTTTCTCGGCCTCCATCTTCAGCTGGTTTCCCTGAGTCTGCACCTCCTCGCTGCTCTTTCTGTCACCTGTAACAAAAATAATCACATGAATAGAATTACTCAGCTGCATCTTTTAGGGATTTAATCTCCACGCTTTCAGGGCAAAATGCAGGTCAAATTAACCAATCTAACTGTTTACAACAGGGAGGTTTGATTATGCTTTTCAAACCACTTTGGTAAAGGGACTACTGCTACCATAGCCCTCTTGTTTCATATGATCGTCTATGCGTTTCATTATATTGGCCTTTGTCTGGAATTAGTCCGATCTTGGATTCATTTAAAAACGCAAACAGATGTCTGTATCCAGATTGAGAATTGTGGTCGGTCCCGATTACCTCAACTTCAAGTCAAATAACACCAAAACACTTCAATGTGTTTCCACACCTGAGCTGTTCAACATCTCTTGCTTCTCCTGCTCCAGCTGTTTGCAAGTCTTCATCCAAAGACCCATCTTGCTCAGGGCCGAGTCTCTCTCTTTAGACAGACGAGCGGCCTGAGACGTTACCTTTGACACCTTAAGTGGACCGAAAGAAAAGATTTAGTCATGAGGAAATAAAATAAAACAAGATATCATCACTTACAGTACACCTCTCTCGTATGAAGGGTATTTTCAAAATTCACAATTGTTTTGTGTACCTGCTCACTGAGCTGTGCAGCAGACAATTTGGATGCTTCCAACTCCTTCTCTATGGCGCCAACTGTAGACTGAAGAGTCTGTTGGGCTTCTGTGAGTTTCTCTTTCTCTTCTTCTGCTCGTTGCTTCTCTTGCTCCATTGAAGAAAGCGCTGACGATAGGTTATTTTTCTCCACTTCAATCAAAGAAAGGGAAGACTGCAATTCTTGTTTTTCAGCCTCTAGCATCCGTTTCTGCTCCTCTATTCTTTTCTTCTCTTCCTCTAATGAAGAGAGAGTTTGTTGCATGTTACATTTCTCCTCTTCTATCGAGGAGAGACTGGACTGAAGCTTCTCCTTCTCATCGGCTAACAGCCCGCTCTCTTGCTCCAGTCTTTCTTTCTCTTCCTCAACAGATGCAAGAGTGCAATGCAGATGATCTCTCTCTTGTTCTACTGAAAACAGGGTTGAATGCAGTTTTTCTTTCTCCTCTGCCAGCCGTCCATTTTCTTCTTCTAGCTGTTCTTTTTCCACCATGATACACGAGATGGATGTTACTGAGGCGTGTCTCTGATCTGCCTCCTTCTCCAACATTTTCCTCTCTTCCTCTTTAGCTTTTATGAGCGTTTCAAGCTCCTTCATTTCTTCTTCCAGAGCCACAATACTGGTCCTCAGGTTATTTCTCTCCTTCTCCCACTCCTCTCCCTGAGAGCGGAGCCTCTCTCCTTCTGTCTCGCGCTCCTCCAGAGAAGACTGCAGAGACATCTTTTCGTTCTCCATCTTTACCAGCAGACACTGCATCTTCTCTTTCTCCCCTTCCGTTTCTGCACTCTTTTGAGTGAGGGAGATCTCGCTCTGCCGAGAGGCCAACAGCTGTGCCTGGAGGTCATCCATTTGACTCGTAAGCCTTTCTGCTTCCTCTCTCATTCCTTTCTTCAGCTCTTCTACCCTGCATTTCTGTTTTTCCTCTTCCTCTCTTCTGTCTAGCTCGGCCCTCTCCAGCCCCCTCTCCAGCTCCTCCTTAGCAGCCTTCAGTTCTTCTATCTCTCTGTTTTTTGTCTCCAGCTCTCTCTCCATGTGTTCTTTCTCAGATCTAAGGGTTTCCAGCTTGGCAGAGAGCTCTGATAGTTTCTCACTGAGCTCTCTCTTCTCCTCCTCCACCTGAGGGTCAGATGGTGGTGACGGTTAAAGAAAAACAGCAGCAGATGAGAAGTACAGAAAGGAAAAGAGCAGCATGAGAGAAAGGGGGGAGTAATCGGATGAATATATTTGGCGGTTTACAGCAACTGTAATATTTTACTATTATCTCATAAAGAAAGATGATCACATATACATAGCAAAGGGCCAAACACAGATAAATATGAAGGTACCTTTGTCCTTTCCTCCTCCAGCTCCGCTTTGGCTGTCTCGGCCTGTGTTAAGAGCATAAAACACTTATGAGCCATTACAATGTAAGGCGGATGAAATGGTTATTTTTCTCAGACATATACACGTTTACAACAGAATACCTGCAACACAGCTTCTTCTAGACTCTGCTCTTCGTCTTCCTTCTCTCGCTCCAGAGCATCAATGCGATCTTGCAGTGAGTCAGACTTCCTCTGGGCAGCTAGAAAAGTAAAGAGTCACAATTAGACCGACAGCAACTCACAAAACTCAAGAGGGAATGTCATTTCTGAGGATGTTAAACGCCACCTTTGAGGAGCTCTTCCATCTTCTTTTTCCTCCTCTCGTCCGACTCTATGCGGACCTGCAGCTTTTCAATACCAGTCCTCATCTGTCGGACCTCGTCTTGTGTCGAGTTCAGACGAGAGGCAATCTCTCCTTTTTCAAGAAGAGATGACTCCAGAGACTGTGAGAGACGGCAAACCTCTCCCTCTAAAGCCTTGAGGAGAAACGAGGAGGATCAGAAACTAAAGAGCATCTGAATCATCTGAGGGTGTATTGGTCCAAGCACTCTTTACTGAAAGTGTGCCAACTTTAAATGTTTTTTAAAAAACGCAAAACTCTTTACTTTGTTTTTGTGAAAACGGGTTCTCTGAGGAAACCCAACCTCAATCAGATACAACCCCCTCACCTGTATCTTGGCGACCATGGACTCCGTGTTTTGATTGGCCGAGGTGTGGTCTACTGTGATCTTGTCCAGCTGGCTGATAAGCTCCTGTCTGTCTCCACTCTGTTGGGATATTGCCTGCTCCAGCGCTTTAATATGTTCCAGCAGCTTTAGAGAAGAAAAGGAAATGAACTCTCTAATCCTCTCAATGTCAACATATTTGACCACATGACATCATCTTCTTTCAGACCCCATCAGAAACAATGGTAAATTAAACTATTGTTCAGATATTAACATATCTTTAGCTGCTCAGTTATGATTAGGATACAAATAAGAATGTGCAGAAAAGGTGAAGATAAGATGAATAAGTTTGATTTTCCATCAGCCATTTAGAGGCATTTCTGCTCTAATTATTATTAATGAAGCCAACTCTAATTACAGTAAAAGCCTCTTTTGACCCGTATCCCAGACCCTTGAACACTACATGTACTGTACATACCTGCTGCCTCTCTGTCTTCAGCTTCTCCTTGCTGCTCTGCAGGGCTTCATACTCCTTCCTGCCTGCTCTGATGTCATCCTCCAGGATGGAAATCAGGCTTCTGGTGTCACAGTTAGTCTTCTCCAGACTGTGAACTTTCTCTCTCGACTGGCCCAAAGACCGGTTCAGGTCATCTCGCTCCTCGGTGCAGGACACAAGTTCAGACCTCAGCTGGGTTGTCTGGAGAAATAGAAAGATTGAGAACAGTTCTGGCACACTGAATGATCAGTAAGGTTCAAAAACACACCATGTTCACTAATGCCTTGCTGTTGTCTAGCTTTTGGAGAAGGAAAAACAAATGCTTGAGCCTACATATTGCTTTAACTGATTAATCCCCGATACATGCGCAGTAATTCAGCTCTTACACATCCAGTGTTTTGATGTTTTAGCTCACAGGCTCTTGGATGAGTCCTCACCTCTGTTGTAATCGTTTCTATCTGCTGCTCCATGCTGGAACAAGTCCTCCTCTGCGTCTCCTTCTCATCTTCCAGTTTGCTCGTCTCACGCTGTAAGGTCTCCAGCTCAGACTCCATGCCCAGGATGTGCTGCTCCAGGTTGGCTTTCTCAGAGCGAACTCTCTTCAGCTCACTCTCCTGCTGAAGGAATTTCTCGTCCCACCCACCTACAGAATCAAGGAAAAGATCTGTTAAGACACCAACGTACACATTCCTCCATAAATCCTGCTGTGCCATGACAGCTGCTGTTCAAATATAAACTCAAACTCTGCTTGTAGTATATTTGTAGCTATTCACAGTCACATACTTAACATTTTGCACCTTGTTTGACTAAAATAGTCTTGCGTGGTGATCTTAATCCCTCATATGCAGTAAGATGGGGCAATATTTACCGTTGGCCATTTCCAGTCCTTCCAGCATCTCCATCACATCCTCCAGCTGGAATTTAGCTGTTTGGAGCTGCAGACTTAATGTCTCCCTCTCCTCTGACAGTTGAGCCATCTAAAATAGAGTATGCCATATTAGTGGCAGTTGAACTTAAGCGTAACAATGTCATTTATTATTTAAGTGGTATTTGGCATTCTGCAATTTCTCCCCCCATACCTGGTCAGCAACCACTTTCTTCTGCTCCAAAGCAATCTTCAGCTCATGTGCTGCACCCTGTGCCTCCTCCTCTGCTGCATGAACTTTCTCCTCCAAGTTTTGAACTTGGACCTTCAGTTCAGAAGTCAACTCCATTCTCAGTGCGAGGTCGGAACTAAGCAGCTCATACTCTGAGCGGAGGGTCTGGAGTTCTTGTTTCGTGATCGTTTCTGTGCAGTGGTTGAGGTCATCTTGTACCTGGGATGACTCTGCTGCTGACACACAGATTGAATTTATTTATTTAAACAAAATTGATCTGATTTAAAACAATACTTCCTAAATCAGCATCAAGTGTCAATTCTATAGCCTGTACCTGTATTGTTTTAGTTTAAGAAAACCTTTTGGATCTCCTTGAATCACAACTGTTATTATAACTAGCAAAAGAAAAATATTTGAGTATTTTTGCAGAAGAAATGTTAAAATCATGAGTCTATGGAAGCAACTCAGTGTAAAGCAAACTAAATAACTCAAGAAAACGCTCAATTATCTAAACTGCAGTTATGCGCACCATTGAATAACTCAGAGGATAGTAACTGTCTGGTCTCACCAACAGGGGAAGATGGAAGAGAAATATGGCATATTTCAGGATTACTTCCAAGAACATCTCGAGGACTACTGCCGTCTTCAGGAAGCTGCAAGAAAGAGGACAAAATTCAAACTGTCTTCATCAAAACTCAAGTTTACCAAGAACAAAACATGCCTTTCAAGTAGAGAAATATTAGTAGCAACTAGCAAGTATTCTGGCTACATAAAGGATAAATCAATAAATGAAAGCATCATGACTGAAGGACAAATACAGAGTAATAAAGTTCTACCTGATCGAAGGGTTGCTGTTGATGCTGCTCCTCGGTAACCTTCGGATCGGCCACGCGTGCCTCCCTTTGCTCGTCCAGCTGTTGGACCATCTCTTGTTCAGGGACGTCCTCTTTGAACACCAGCTCTGTCTCACTGCCAGGGCTGAGGGAGACATAAACATATTCATCACATAATAAAACACATACAAAAGCACATAACTGTGCATTTGTACTTATTATAAAAACTCATTATACCTGAAAGCCTCGTCAGACTGATGGGAAAGTTCACCCGGTTCAGCTACCATTGGGCTCAGCTGTTCCTTTACTGGAAGGGACTCAGCATTGATGCTTGTATCAAGTGTCGGCTCTACGTCAGTCTGTCCTGCTGCTTCTGCTGCTCCTGCTGGGGGAAATCGTTGCATTTACTTCATTTTAAAGAGATGTAATCAAATTAGAGCTGGTCGATAAATCAATTTCAGTGATGCAAAAAAAATCGGAGATTATATTTTCAGGTCGTATCGCCCAGCCTGCAGTGTTTCATGAAGAACTGTGATCTAGTTTCGGTTTACACTCACCACCGACACCCGTCTCCTCAGTCTCCATGTGGCGGATGTTTTCTCCTGGCTCCTTCTGGGTTCCCTGTGATCCTGAGAGCTGCTGTATGAGGCTGTGCTGTCGGCCCACCTGCTCCAGCAGTGAGTCGTGCTGCTGCTTGAACACGGTCAGCTCCTTCTGTAAGTGCGCCAACTTCTGATGCAGTTCTGCCTGCTCCGCCTCAAACTGTTGGATCCTGTCAAGCGTCAACATGAAAGTGATGCTATTAGAATTCCAGATAATATTACAAGTAAAAACAAAAATAAAGAAACTAAAGAATGTAGCTATAGTGACTCATAAAAACTAAATATGTACGGTACCTCTCTCTGTTCTCCTCCTCAGTCCGCTCTTTAAGTGAAGCCGCCTCTTCTTCGTGCCTTTCTATTCTTTCGTGTAACTGCAGCTTCTCTTCAGTTATTAGATTCACACTAGATTGTAGTTTGATGTTCTCTTCAGTCAGCTCATGATAGTTACCCTCCAGCTGAAGCTTTTCCTCAACTACTCGATTCAAGTTAGTGGCCGAGTTATTTTTCTCTGAGATTAGCTCGGTTAGTTTAGCCTCCAGTTGGATTTTTTCCTCATTTATCAGACTGAGGGTGATATCTAGTTGGGCTTTCTTCTCGAGAACTTGTCTAAGGGTCGATTCAGCTTCCTGTTTCTCTACAGTCATCTGATGGATCTTCTGCTTTTCTTTAGTTAACTGCTGAATGTTGCTCTGCAGTCGTTTGTTCTCCTCAGACAGCTCGTCTAAACTGCCTTCCAGCTGTTTCTTCTCTGCATTGACTTGAATCACCTCAGTTTCTACTTGCTCTTTTTCATTTCTTATCTGTTTCAAAGTAGTCTCAAGGTTGTTTTTCTCGTGTTGTAACTGCTTAAGATGATGCTCTCTGTCCTCAATTGCCTGCCTGAGAGTTGTCTCTAACTTGATATTTTCCTCTGTGGTCTGGCCGAGTTTAGACTCTAAAGCAGCAACATTCTCCTCCAGCTGCATTTGGTTGACAGCATCCTCTTCCAGACGAGTGATTTCACAGCTCTGTTCCATCAGCTCCTCCTTAGCTGTGACATACTGTGTCTCCAGCACGGAGTTCTGAGATTGGACCTCCTCTAACCGGGTTTCCAAGACAAAGACCTGAAAAGGTTTAGAGTTTAGATTGAATCCATAGTACAGATGATGACCATGTCCTGCCTGAAGTTTAGATGAGTATATAAAACCAGTTGTGAGACACATGGAATGTGTTATTGAGCTCCGAAGAATGATCAAAATGAACCTCAACACTAAATCTAGCTTCTGTGGCACAAATGATGTTGATAGACGTCTGTGGAACAAAGCGGCTCTACCTGGGCTTTGCTGTCCTCCAGCCTGGCCTCCATGTCAGACATCTGAGTTTGGTTGTGAGCTAGCTGAGCCTCCAGTGACTCTATGGTTCCCTTCAGCTCCTCCACCTGACTGCCAAAGGAGTTCATGACCGTCTCGTTGTCCTCCAGGTCCATTTGCAGCATCTCCATCTGGACCTAAATGTGAAGAATGACACAAATACAGCAAATGATCTAAAGAAATGACTCATCAAACGTCGTTTTAAGACTAAATCTTCTGACTTACCCAGGTGGTACCGTACTCCAGGCAGGACTAACATAATGCTGTACTCTTTACACCATATTTAATAAGACTGTCGACATGCAAGGCCAAAGACATAACCAAGAATCAATCAGCAACCAACCTTGATTTTGTTCATGGCGACCATCTTCTCCTTCAGGAGATCTGATGCTTTGGCGTGCTCTGCCTCGGATTTATTCAGCTTCTCCTTCAGACTCTTTATCGTGCCATCTCTCTCTTCTAAGCCGTGTGACGCAGCCGTCAGAGTCTTCTTCATGCTCTTGATCTCCTCCCGTCGACAACTTGATTCTGTTTTGGCAGCAGTCACAGATTTTCTAGCGGCATCAAGCTTCTCTTTGAGGATCTTCTCTTTGTTGAGGAAATTTTCAGCATCTAAAGCACGACTCTCTTTGTCTTTGTCCGTCTTCTCGGTGAGCTCTTTGACTTCTTTCTCCAGACTGCACTTGACTTCAATAGTGGAGGAGTGACTCCTCTCAAGAGCTTCCAGAAGCTTTTTAAGGTCAGCATGGGACTGGTGGACCACGGCCAGTTCATTCTTCAACTCCGGAAGCTTCTCTGCTGCGTCTTTGCTCGCTGTTAGCTCCTCTTCCAAGGAAGATATCTGCTCCAGGAGGTTATCGATCTTCTCAGTATGAGCTTGCTGGAGGTTCTTTATAAGAAATAGATTTAAGTTTATTATTGGTAACAAGCATAGAGGATGATATACACAGTATTAGAAAATAAGTAAAACTAACCAAACATACATTTTTAATGCAGTATTTTACCTCGGCCTCTTGAAGTGCATTTTCCAGCTCAGCCTTTTGTTTCTCCAGAGACAAAATCTGAGCTTCAGCCTTTCTGAACTGCTTCTCCTGCTCTTCTGCGTGGCTCTGTAGCTCCTTCAGTTTATCCTCCAACTGTTTAAGCTCTTCTGATTTCTTATGATGCAACTCTTTGTGTTCCTCTTCACTGTCCGACAGCGTCTTTATTTGTTTCTGCAGCTCAGCTCCCAGTTGCTCCTGGACCTTCAGGAACTGATCCGCTGAGCTGACCTGAATACAAACAGAACAACTATAGCGTTTACTGGTTCGGACTAAAGTAAGGAATAATACAACATAAAGTAAAAGCACGGGGCATACGATTACAAAATCAGCAGGCTAGATTTAATCTGCCACTGAAATTCAAAACACTCATCAAAAAAAAATCTTCTCGTGTCAGAACAACATCGATAAATGTGACATTTGTGACAGCAAAGATACTTTGACCATAATGTCCTCATTGGTTATACGATTATTTTGTTGATACAATCTGTTACATCACTTAAGTCAGCCAAGAATGCCCTTAAAGTTGAATCAACTCAAAAGAAACAACAGACTGCTACATATATAAAAAGAAGAAATAACTGGTAATCTGTTTGTAATGGTTACTGCTGCAGTACAGTATAACAGACCTGGTCTTTGGTGAGCAACAGCTCCTGTTTAGTCTCCTCCAACTGAAGCTTGAGCTGCTCGCTCTCTTCAACCTTTGTTGAAACACTCTCCTCACACTGCTTCAGCAGCGCTGCCTTCTCCTCTGACAACCTGGTGGAGTTCAGACAACAAAGAGAGAGAACTGCATGTTAAACGCAAGCTACAGTTATTGTTGTTTCCCCAAGGAAACAATAGGGACACAGTGTTCATATCATACGACACTAAAGCATCCTTAAGTATTTTATTGTGGATGTTATCAATTATCCTCTGAAACCCTGCAATCTCATGGTGCAAAGTGACGCAGTCTCAACAAATACTAAACGTTATGTATTTTGTAAAGGTAGGATTTATCCCAAGGCTGTTGTATTGGAAAAGGAGTTCATTCAAAGATATGAGCTAAACATTAAATAAAACTCCCACCTGGTAGTTTGCTCTTCTTGCTGTGCAGTGACTTGAGTGAGGCTCTCCCTTAGCTGGCTGATCTCCGCTTGGCCCAACTCGATGAGCTGGTCTTTGGAGTGAGCCAGGTCGCAGGCTGCCTGGTGCTCGTCCTGCAGCTCTATGTTGGTCCTGTCGGCCTGCTCTACTCGAGCAATTTCCTTTTGCAGCTGCAACTCCAGACCTTTGACCTATTCAGATTAAAAAATAAGCACCAGGCCAAGTTCAATCAATGGCTCTTCATTGTGTTGTTTTTAGGTCCAGTCATATATTATTTTTAAGTGTTATTATTGTTACCAAGACCAAAAACAAAAAGTACATTGTAAGTCAATGGTGCAAAGAAATTGTTTATGATCTAATTTCATTAAAAATTAGCAAGGAGGGGTGCCATGTTTTTTTAATTAAAAAGAAATCAACATTTAAAAATGTAAAATGTACAATAAATCACCTGTGCTTCAAGCTGAGCCACTTGCACGGCAACATTCTCCAGGTCTTTGGTGTGCTTCTGTCCGGCCTCGGAGAACTTAGACTGCAGCTGGTCGTACCGATGCTCCCTTTCTTCCAACTCTGTGCTCTTGTTGAGGAGTTCTCCCTTCAAGGAATCAATGTGAGCAGACATGCTGGCCTTGTCTCCCTCTACGCTCATGAGCTGCTTCTACAATAGCAAGTCAGCCCACAGAATTAATGACAATAGTTACAATACAACACATCATACAATGACTTTCACATTAAATAGACTTTCTGTGCTACTTACGCTTTCTAACTTTGTTATCATAAATAAATCATTTGTAAATTCAAAGCAAACCTTAAATCTAAAAATAGATTTTGGGGTACACAACTAAACAAACAGGTTATTTCAATATGCGTGTCTGTGTGCTAAATATGAGCAAGCATATTAATTCTTCCTAATCCATAATTGAAGTGAATATATTGGGAACCACAGCAGCGTACCGTAACGATGTCATTAGCCTCATTCAGCGAGATGAGGCTGTTCTCCAAGTTGCCAATTTTGTCAGCGAGGTCTTTTTGCACAGCCTCAGTTTCATTAATCACGGTCTCCTTTTCTTTCTTCCACTCCAGCAGAGCTTGATGTTCTTGTTTCAGTTCCTTACTCTCATTCTGACTCGCAGTGAGGTTGGATTTCAGCTCTTGGCTTTCGTTCTCTTTCACCGTCAACCTGTTGGTCAACTTTTCTGCCTCTTGCTTCTGTTTCTGCAGTTCACTCTGAGATCTACAGTGTGATAAAAACATCGAAGAGCATGTTAAATGTCATAGTATATTAAGCTTTTTACTTTTCCTCAAAGTGTGACTGAACTTTCTTCTTTTCTACAGTAAAACTATGCTCACCGGTCAATGTTGGCCTCTGCATCAGAAAGTGTCTTCTTCAAGTTCTCCAGCTCCCGGGACGAAGCCTGAGTCTGCTGCTCTAGTTTAGTCTGAAGCCTCTTCAGCTCATCCGCCTGTCCTTCCGATTTGGCTGAAGAGCAGATAGACAAAAAAATTCAACACCCAGATAATTCTCCAAAATATCTGCTGCCGTTGCCAGTCCTACAGCTAACGTACCTTTCAGGTCATCCAGTAACCCCTGGGTGCGTTTGAAGCTCTGGTCTGCGCTCTTCTTCTCTTCCTCCAGCTGAATCAGACGCCTGCTGCTCTGGTCCAGCTGGACAGACGCACTGTTCTTCTCTTTCTGCAGCTCCTGGAGGGAATAAAAAAAAAAGCAGAGAACATGAATGGCAGTAAAAGATGCTGACAGATTCTTCTTTAATCAGTTGGAACGGGATCCTCAGCATCAAGGCCAAAAATGCAGTAGTGACAGCAAAGCAACCCACCTCCATTTTCTTGCAGAGGTCCTGCTCTTTGTTCTGGCTGGCCTGGAGGCTCTGCTCTGACCTCAGCAGTTTCTGTTTTTGCTCCTGTACCTCCTTCTCCATCTGAGTCTTCTGGAAGCACATCTGGAAAGAAGCAAGAGGAGAGGAAAAAGTCAAGACGGGAAGGGAGAAGTACATACAAAGGCAGAAAGTAAGTAGTGTGACACAGATGGCAAGTGCCCTAAACCCTTAAACAGACAGATGATGCAAAAACTGGAGCTACTACTGAATTTCAACATTCCATCATCTATCAGCAAGATAACAGTCAGCGTTTTCAGCATTGCTGGCAGGTGGCATGCCTTGCATACAAACAGAAGTAGATGATTCCACCACATCTTGAACTGTATTGCACTCTTCTCACAGCCTTCATCAAATGTAATCTGGGTCTGTGTATACTATGCTGACAGTAACAATATCATTAAGGTTAGCTACACAACACAATGAGAAAGAAAGACAGCGTTACCTTCTCCACGTCAGCCTGCAGTACGTTGTGGTCTTTTTTGGACTGTTGAATCTCTTGTGTCAGCTTGGTTCTGGTCTGGTTCAGCTGCTGTTCCAACGCCTGGTGAGAAGTCTGCAGCTGGGCTAGCTCCTACATAAAATGAGTCAGAGACAAACCCTTTGAGATCAGAATATCAAAGAGCATTTTTAACCTAAAACTATTAAGGTGTAATCATGTTATGTATCCAAGTTATTGCACCTTCTGACTATCTCTCTCTTGGTCCTTGAGTTTCTGCTCCAGGGCTCGTTTGCAGCTCTCAGCGTTGTGCCTCTGACAGCTCATCTCCTCCGAGACTTGTTTCAGCTTCTGCTCAACTGATGAACACTAAGAACAATAAGCAGAAAAGTTGTCATTTACAAATGACAAAAACTCATGTTTTTACCCAGCGTGCCTCCTTTAACTATGTAATCAAGCAGAAATAGAACGAAAACAATATATCCCATGTCAATAAAGTCTTTATGTACCAATTATGGACGCCTACCTTGGCCACAATCAGCTGGTGTTCGTTTGTGGCCTGACTCAGCTTGTGGCTGGTCTCGGCCAGGTCTCTGTCCCGTTCAGTCAGCTCTTTGCGGGCCTGGTTCAGTTGAGTTTGGAGGTCCTGCAGCTTGGAGGCTTGGCTACGAATTTCCTTCTCCTGAGTGGACAGATTCCTTTCCAGCTCTAACACTCGGCAACGCAGCTCTGATGAAGGAAAAGTAAACATTTAAGGGGTGTGGCCGAACATAAATCAGGAAATTTAACTCAAAGGAGCCAAATACATTTTTCAGCGGTAGTAGATATGCAAAATAATAATAAAAGGCTCCCTAATATTACACAGGAAAGATACCAGACACTTTATACGGCATGAGCTCCACAACAAATTATAAACAGTCCACCTTGGTTGATGGTCTTCAGCTGATCCATCTGTTGGGAGGATCCACAGGGACTCTGCGCTGCTCTGGAAGAGCTCATCCGCTGGCTGGTTTTAATGGGCGTCTCCTCATGGGCTTCCCAGAGGGAGGTTCCCCGCCTCTTCAGAGGCGTTTCCATTGCATCCTGAGAATGCCGACTGTGGGCCTGATCCTGCCATGGGAATATGGAAGATCCAGCTTGGCGGGCAGCAATGTCCTTGTGGCTTACAGTGACTGAGGACTGATTCAACAGCTAAAAGAGAAGAATTAAGTTAGAGTCAACAAATACAAAGAAACAAACCCACATGATAGACATAAGTTAGGTACTTGCCTTGACCTGCAGGATTTTGAGTTCGGTCTCCAGCCTTTTTCTTTCTTCTACCTCCTGGCTGTATTTCTCCTGAAGCCCATCTATTCTGTTATCTATGGAACACAAATACAATCAGCATGTTAGGGCAAACTGAAAAACTCATCCAGAGTCACTCGGATACATATGTATCTTTTGCCTATATGCAGAAAAAATTATAAGTAGATGAGAAGCAGCAATATAACTAAAATGTGCATTAATACCAGCCTGACAGGTAAGCATATTTCTGGAAACCAAACAAGGAGAAGTCAAACAAACTGAAGTACCCTGCAGTCTGTAGGCTGGGACAGGAGCCGGGGTAGTGAAACCTTTCTGTGGAGTAGTGTAGGGCTGAAGCTCAGAGGACGACGACGACAAGGAGGAAGAGCCAGCAGACTGCGAACGATCCAGCTCATTCTTGAACCTAAGCAGATGGAAAGACAACAAAGAAAGCAGTGTTTTCCATCAGGTCAAATAGTTTATAACATCCATTCATATTAATCACGACTTACTTAGTACTTGACAAAGCAACAATGCCCATCAACAGACACTGAACTCACTTTTTCAGCTCCTGCTCCAGTCGCTCTATGGTTTTTTTACAGGAGTTAAGCTGACCATCCAGATAGCTCACCTAGGTTTAAGAAAATAATTTAGACACGGTTTATTTTCTTTTGAAATATTTGATCTTAAAAATGTATTGTATGTTAGCTTCAAATACATCTGTAAAATATGAATACTGCAGAAGATCTTTCTTTCTCAAATCAGTGACTGACCTGCTGCTCCTTGACTCCTAGATCATGGACAACCTTTTGACGGGCTTTCTCCAGAGAGTCACAGGACTCCACTAGCGACTGGTTCTCCCTTTTCAGAGCAGAGGTCTCAGTGCGTTCACTGTCCGCCTGGAGAAAGAGAAGCATGGATCAATAATAAACAGATTGCTATATTAATAATAATTCAAATAGAATAGATTGTATTCTTTCTGGTAGAATTTCAACTTCTGTTTCAATACAGTTTAATTTATAAACCCTCCATTCATCCATTCCCCTTAAAAACTGACCTTTTGTTTCTGTTTCTGTAGGGCGGCCTCTAAGGAGTCCAGCTGGAACTGTTTCTGGTTCCTGTCCTTCTTCACTTTGTCCAGCTGGACTTCCATCTCCTGGATCTTCTGCAGGGCTTTCCCTGGAAGTCCATCCTTCCACTCCTCCACCGCCCAGCTCATGGTCGATAAACGGACTAAACACATATCCATATATTTGAGAGGGGGCAAACAATACCAATATGCAAACTGACTGAACAACTTTATTTATGACAATATGATGACCTGTAACGTTAATACCACCGGATAAACGTACGTCTCAGTAACGTTAACGCCAGATAAACATACGTCTCACATTACCTAATTAAGCGTTAATTTGAAGAGAAGCTTAAACGTTAACGTTAGCGGAAACTGTCTCTGTTGGATTTAACGTTAGCTGCGATGAACGTGGTTTTAGCAAAAACGTAAATTTTTGTATTTCCAGCAAAAATCGACCAGTTAACGGCCGGAGTTAACTACATGTGTTGTGAAATGACAACGTGTTAAGCGTTAAGACTCAAATGAATCGCTACAAGCGTTAAGATTCAAGATAGCTGGACTTACTTTGGGCGCGATGACGCTTCTATCACATACAAACTGTTTTGGGGTTTTTTTTTCTCGTTGAAAATTCAAACTCCACCGGAGCAAACCACAATCCCCTCAGCTCCATGCCCATTGGCTACTTCATATGACGTCAGCCATACGACGCACCCGATTGGTTGATTTGTGGTAGTCTCGTGGCCCCCATGTGGTGTGACTTTGTAAGTACTCATCCTCCACAGACAGACATCCTACTAGTCCTCCTATCCTACTCGTAGCTTTTCTAAAGTACAAGGACCGATTAGTTCACAATTAGACAAATGTTAGGCTGGGAAAACAAGCTCGTGGGCCACGTATTAGACTGTATTTCACATTGGAACTTAAATATTTAAGATCCTCACCAGAAGATATATATAAGATTTCCACAGCTGGCTAAGGAAATTGCTATTTTTTAATTACATCACAAGATGGTCTGCCTTGTAAGATGATATAGTAAATCTTTCTTATAGAAGCTCTATGATTTAATTAATTGGTATAGGGGGTAGGAGGTGGTGAGGTCTATTGACTAAATTCACTGAAGCCCTGGTGTTCACCTCTGCAATTTAGACTTAAACAGAGCACACCTCTGTCAGGGTTGACTCTCAATAGAGGATACTTGAAGGAATAAAATAGTCAGATAACTCACATAGCGGTGGTTCAGGACCATTTACAGCACAGTGGCCAGAAAGGAGACTTCATGGTTAAATAAAATAAGTATATTATGAAAGCAAGTGCAATGCTGCCTTTTATTTAGTTCCACTGACATGGTACAGAAATAACCAGAGGCTCAGATTATAGTTGTGCATTCCAATAGAATTCATGCCTGATTAAGTAACAGCTCAGAAAAAAAACTACAAAAAATATGCTTGGCCTTTCATCTGGTTGTATATGTGCAGTTTGAGTATATGTTTTTATCCCTTATGTCACAGGTTCCCTTTCATTAAGTCACAGAAAGAAAAAAAATAACATGCATGTTCTTCGAGGCCGGCCAGAAATAAAATGAAGTGCTCAAATGGCAAACAGAGGGTTTAGATGTTTTATGGTTTGTGCAAAACCAGCCTACAAACCCTCTTCTCATTGTCTTTCCTTTGTAAAAACAAATGCAAAACTTGCTGAGACGGTGCTTTTGGATTACCCTTGCAAAACTGTCAGGCAGACACCTTGTGGATGCATTTGTGCAGGCGACAGAGTCACCTATGCACGAGTTGCTACAAATATGACCACAGGCAACTCGTAACAATGGGCTATTTTTAACCATCAGTAACCCACATTAATGTGGTGCATAAAACTGCATCCATAGTAAACAAGAGGGAGAAGCTACAGGCATTACAAATACTTAAGGTTAGATATGCGACTGTAGTTTCTCTGGTGGTTAACAAAAATGTCTTCCAGGGTTGCGATGTTGACATCATTTTATCACAAATAATGTACAAAACGTGACTGCAACAAGAACCCTTAAATAAGGCCCAGCTGATGATCTTGACATTGCCTCAACTTTTTACACACACTGCATGCTTAGTCTTAGATTTCTGTGTTATGATTCAAACCAACTGCAAGAAGAAAACTTCAGTTTCACGACCTGCGACTGCTCCTCCTCATGGTTTTGGATTGTGGTCTGTTAATCAATACACAGAGCCAACTCTTCCAGAATCTCTGACCAACCTGAATCTCAACAGGATTCTACGACATAGATTTCATGTATTTGGAGTACCCGTTCCTGCTGAAGATAACTTCCTTAAAAAGTTGCGATGTTGGTACAATTTGCTATATATTATGGTTTAAACAGAAAGTAAAACTGTGCGTAAATGATGGTGGCACTGAAGCAGAGATTAGAGGAAGATGGTGATATGGTGCATTCATTCTTGTTGATTATAAAATTGAGTGTTTTCACCTGCATGTAAAAGACAATCCTACCAGGTTATACTGCATGTTCATATTCTGCTTCAGTGATTTCATTCCCAAAATAACAACTATCTGGATTCACAATGCTGCTGAGAAATCACAAAAGGAAAAATAATGCATCTCTAGAGAAAAGGCAACAAACGCTACAGTGTTAAGCCTTTTTCCTGAGAGCATAGGGGCTCTGATCCCAGATCAGCAGTCAGGCCACAGTACCAATGTCTTCAGTAGTCACCCTGGCCTCAGATCAGCACCCCTGTTTCAGGATACACTGAATAGAGAATTATAGCTGGTTCCCTGTCAGTCAACCCGAGGGCTCTTTGGTCAACAAGCCTCATATGCACAACATAAACATGCATCACGTTTCCTGGTTCTTTAAAACAAGCAAACAAACTGTAAGACAAGCCGATCAAACAACCGAGTATTCATTAAGGAATAGTTCTTTGCATTCTCTTCTCCGTTGCTACAGAGTACCTGATGCATGGTCAGTCACATTTTTATCACAGTTTAAACAAAAATGAATGAAACCAGAAACTCTGTTTGATAGAATTGAAAGGCATTGGCTGGGGAGAAAGTAGTAATGCCCTTCATGCCTCCAGTTTGTACAGAGGTTCAAATCATTAAACAACTGCTCTGCGGTGCAGCTAAAACTGCTTACAAAGACATATGTGACAACATGGCCTGTTGATGGGTCTACAGTGAATTAATTCACAAGGAAAGAAAAACGGAACATTTTACATCAGAGAATGGATTTTACGTAGCCGTCAAATAGAAGCGTTGTTTCTTTTAAAAGACAGTCTCTTTTTTTCCACTAATGTGATCATTTTCTGAATCACATTTTCATGAGCTTCCGCACACAGAAAGTATTCCGGTCCTTTTTTTTCCCCCCATTGCAAAGAAAATTGTAATCCTAATTTGTCTGCTCATAACTCCCGGTCTGCTACAGGTACAAAACGTGGTCTTCCTCAGCCTCAATATGTAGACATGGAAAAAGAAACTCTGCCTACAAAGAGGCATTAAAACAAAAGAGTGGGTGATGAAAAACGGAGGGCAATAAGATGCATGGCATGCAGTTGTGACGTGTATTGTTGTTGTTCTAAGAGAGTCTCTTCACTCCAGTGCTCCTCCGAGAAGCCTCTTTAATCTTTTTGCTCCTCGTTTACTTCTGCTCATCAATCTCTCGTTTGACCTCTGCTACATAATTGTGATCCTTCCCATGAGCCACCTCCATGATGGCAACTGCCTGAAGACAGAAACAAAATGCATTGTAAAAATAAGTGAGTTATCAAATTGCAAATGTATGATGTGGTTATTTCCCAAAAGCATTTATACAGCTCAGGGCAATGAATGGCTATCAAGTTGTTCTGTGGATGAAGCAACCGACTCTAAACTTGTGACTGCAGCTGCCTTTTACAGCTCACTTCTCTCCTGCTACTATTTCTTTAGAGCCTACAGTATGTTCTGCCATCACTTAGCCACCTATTAACATCCTAACTGGCCAGATGTCTGTAAACTTACCTTTTTTAGAGCTTTAACTCCCTGTCTCTTCTTCTCCAGCCCCAGATACAGACGTCCCAGTTTCAGATACATAGATGCCACATTCAGAGAGTAGGCTGGGTAGTGAACACTATAGAGACAGTGCAATTCATACAACAGTGAATGTGAGCGGAAACAAGATGCAATCTATAATTAATGATACAATGTCTTTTGTTGTGGTGCTACAAAAGCATAAAATATGTCAAGCTGGAAAGTGCAACAATATAAATGAGATATAGTAGATGTGGCAGAGTGAGAGTGCACTGAAGGAACACAATACAACATGTTGTAGAGTGAAGGTGGGACAGAGAATGGGAAAATAAGATGTAATGTATGTAGCAAATTATGAAGCCAATAAAACATAAAAATAATAATTCTGAGCAGCAAAGAACAGTTAAAGCAAACGATTAAAAAACTAAAATAGGAATTTATAATCCTGGGATTGTCTGACAATAGTGCTGCTACAACTGATTGACTTTCTTTACAATGCTCAATTGTAATTAGTGTCTTTATTTTAATTGCTGCACAGATCAATTCACCTGTATGGCTGAATGATCTTCTCTCCGTAGCTCATAGCTCCATCCCAGTCTTGCATGTAGAGACACACACCCATGGCCTGGTACATCATGTGCAGCATGTATACGTTGGTGTCTGCAAATATAGCGCCCATCTTCTCCTGGCTAAGCTCACATATCTCCAGCAGCTCACTGGGGGGTGCCAGAGAGTCAAGGAATAATCACACAAATGTTTGCGGAGAAACAGGAGGAGGGTGGGGAGTGAAAGGTTGTCCTTAATGAAGAAAGACAAACAGAGGAAATAGAAACAAGAGACAGTGGAAAAAATACAAGTAGAAACAGTGGAAGAGGATATTCTTGAAGTGTTTGGCTCTCCTGAACTCCTCGATGACAGTCTTGGCGTAATGGACCAGAGTTCGGATTTCCTCGGGCTCTGGTGGAACACTCAGCTTCCTGATCTCCATTTTAGCTTTGTCCTAGAAAGAGATGGAAAGGAAGGACAAACGGAGCAGTTGTTCGGTAACATATCCTACACAAGATACTCGGTTGTGTTGAGGACACAGTGAAGACACAAACAAGGCATGAACCTGCAGTATTTCTCCAACAGACAGCACAGACTGATGCAGATGAGACTTCTTCTTGTATATTCCTCACATCAACAATGCAAAAAGGACACCCACATGCTATATAATGAAGTGATTTAAAATTGAAGAGAGACAAGCCAACCGTACCTTAGACTTGGTGGTGCACTCAGTACACTGGCATGTGAAGAAGTAGGAATCTAACAACCTCTCTTTCCTGTCGTCTGTTGGATAGAGCAGGTCTATGTAGCTGTTAAAGACCTACAGAGAGAGAAGAAGACACTCACGCATCAATAAAAACAACTGTCATAAGCTTCTGTGTATTTCTTCATGATTGTATGCGGTCTCACTAAGAAGCATCTTCGTTACTAGATGAGTCCAGTGATTACGTACCTCGTCTCCGGGGTTTATCTCCTGGACAGCTCTGACCTCAGCCACTGTGCCTTTATAGGTCACTATGACATTAGGACTGCAGCTGTGATTCATCAGTGCTACGCTAGAAGGAAGAAAATGAAGGAGGAGAGTCACGAAAGGTTACCAAAAAATATTTGGAAATGAGAGAATTGTGATAAAAGCATTAGCAGCTTTATGATGTTGGGACTGTACACCGATTGAAAAAACGCTAAACAGTGAGAGAGAGGGAAAGGAAGTGCACTGAGGAGGAGACCGAGGACTGAAGAGTATGCATGGAAGGAGACAGACAGAGGAAAGGAGGAGGAACATGTTGACAAACATAATTTCCAACTTAATCAGCAGAGTAAAATACACTGATGAATGGGATAAACTGCTGAACGATGGTGACGTGTCAACACGGACTACTTACTCAGGAAAAACAGCTGATCCCAGATGGGAGAGCTCTTCGTCCTCTATGGTGAAACCATTACAGTTAACCTGGAGACACGAAGAAAAGAAAACAGCGACAGAGCGAGTCAGAAGGAAGGGGAGACACAAACAAACAGGTGGAGACAGAGACAGAGAACAGCATGGGGAGTAATATGATATTACAACTGGTATCACCCTCCACTAACATGTGCTGGAACCCCCCCCGCCTCCACTGAGGAGGAGGAGGAAATCCGGTAGTGGAGATTAAATGTAGCGGTGAGATGAGGCTGTTGGTTTAGCTTGGAGAAGCAGCACTGACAGACGGTTCAAATTAAAGAGCTAACCGCTGTAGAGCTAAACAGACAGAAGCAGTGTGTTTGTGCGATACAGATCCTGGTTTCAAAGGAACCTGGAAGAAGATTAAAGGATGTATGAACACAAGCATGCGTTAAGCAAAAAGGTATTTGCACACTGTGTGTCTACATCTTTTGTATGTTGCAAAAAAAAAAAGTCAACACCTGTCTACGTGCCCTTACCAATCACACGACAGTAAGAGAACACACCCAACCTCAGATCCTGGATCCTTCTAACAGTGGATTTGTAGGTGGGGAGGATGTGTTATATCCAGCTTTACCTGCGCAAAGAGCTCAGTGAGAGCCTGTTCATCAGGGAGGTCACTGATGTGTCTGGAGTAGAAGTGGTGCAGCGCTGCTATGTCCGCCTGGTTCATCTCATCCTTCTCACTGTCCATCTTATCTAAATCTGGAAAAGGCAATCGGAGACGGACATTAAAAAGAATAACAGACAATAAATACAGACAGGATGGAAAGAAAGAAAGACAAAAAAAAAGGGACAGAGAGAGAGAAAGAGTTGTGATGAACATTTTATTGACTTTATTGAGCCACAAGCTGGAAATCAGACTTTTAGTTTGTGTTTGAGGTAGTGCTTCCATTTCAGAGAAAAGAGGGATTACTGAAGGGAAAACTAGGACGAGCCAAGTGGAAAAAGAAACACTGGCACAGGTATCCAATAAAGACTAGAGATAAAACAGTTATTCATCCAGAATTAAATCAGTATGTTTTTTTTTTGTTGTTGCTTCATAGAAGAACCATTCAGTGTGAGCAGCAGGTGTAGAGTATACTGCTATAAGCCATGTCATTGTCAGTCTCTCTCTCACACACACACACACACACACACACACACACACACACACACACACACACACACACACACACACACACACACACACACACACACACACACACACACACACAGATTTGCTTTTTGTGCATGAGAGACAGGTGTGAAGGTTAATTTTGTGACAATCCTCTGATGACAAATCTGAGGCTGCAACAACAGCTCAGACTAAATGATAATACTAAATGGATCAGAGAAAAGAGTTTGTGGCCACCTACATGGAGCAGACAGGTTTTAGTGTGTTTTGACAAATGCACTCTTTAATCAACTCAGAGTATGAGAATGCAATACGTATGAATCTAAAATTGGACAGTGTTTAGCCTCCTTGCTGACAAAGTATTTGGAACACTTAGAGCTTCTCAGTACAACCACAGTCTCACAGAGAAGAGGGTTGCGTGCCTTGCCCAAGGGCACAATGGCAGCAGTTTTTAAAGGAGGGTAGAGAACATGAAATTACAGCATCAGGAATCTGGGGATTTAAATCCCAGAGCTCGGCAGACTTTGTGAATAAAAAGAGACAGAATCAGGACTGGAGGCTACAGAGAGGATATTAATAGACTCTGCTATAACGGCAGAGACACAGAAAAATCACACACACACACACACACAGTGTAACTAAAAATGCACACACATGTAACTAAACATACACGCACACACATCTACTTACGGGCTTCAAACTCTTTGAGCAGCAGCAGCCTCTCTGAAGGGGTGCGCTCTGTTGTGACTCTCTGCAACACAACAGTCATTTCAGTCAAAAAACGCTAAATCATGAAAATAAAATCCTAAATAACCAAAGTTTCCTTTCTCAATGTTTACCTTATTATACCAAATGGTTTTGTTAAAGACTTTCAGGCCAATTAAGGAGTCATTAAGATGCTATGACGGTACAGCAGCTGCTGAGCACAAAGGGATGACAGCAGCTCAGGCTTCAGGAGCAACATGTTCACATTGCAGCTGGTTCTTTGCATAAAATATGGTCCAACTCATAAAATGAACTTATCATCAGGGCAGCGACTTACATTATTTGACTCTTTATCTTCTTTAAAGTTTGTTTTAAATGTATCAAACGTTGTGTTTCTGTCACATTCTCACACGGCATGTTGGAACATTTACCTGTTTCATGATGATTCGAGCCACCAGTCTGACAGTCTCTGATGGACACCAGTTCTCCCCGTAGGCACACATAGCTACACACTCCAGCTTATGCATCGGCCAATCGCCTCTCTGTAGAAACACACACACACACACACACACACAAAAAGAAGAATTACAGTTTGTAAACCCTCCGGTATTACAGCAAGTCATCCCATTCAACAGGACAATACATGAGACAAAAAGCAAGAATGTGAGAAGAAAAGAGAGAATTCAATGAACACAATGGATGATAAATTATTGTATCGTCACAAAGCAAATCATCCATAAATTATTGCTCCTTGTACCCCAGACTATCTCTATCTGTCTCTATCTCTAACACACACGTCGCTACACGTATGGATGCACGCAAAAGACTCGCATGTGACACCAAAAAATAAGTCATCTGCTAAATTGGTAAATTTGTAAAAATACTCATCAGCTTGGTCTCTCTTTGTCCTTGAATTTGCAAATACCAGGAGTAAGATCAATCATCATGGCACATAATCACATGCAATAACTACACACGCCCTCCATGAAAGTGCAAGATAGACTCTTACCTGACAGTCAACATTGCAGTAGTAGGCCTGCTTACATTTGCCACACTTGAAAAGGTCTTCTCTCCTGTAATGACGTGAAGACACACAACACGTTCCTCCATTACCGCTGAGATAAGTGGACCGGTGTAACATTCTGTCGGTAGGATTCAATGGTATTCATCTACATGAAATAACAGGCTGCACGTCTTCATGTGTAGAGACTTCTTCACCTGATGCCTTTCAGTTGATTGACGTGGGACTACATTTAACCTTTTTACTGGCATTACTCTTGTCCCGCTGTGTTTAGGTGCTAGGTATATATTTTAGTTGAACTGATGGTGAATGAGAGACGTTCAGGTTTGTTCCAGTCCTGTGACAGAGGGTTGGACGCACACATGCACAAAACATAAGCTCGAACACAAACAGAAGTTCATTAGTTTACTTATTAAACTTTAATTTCATTCATAACCACTCCATATGCATTAGAAGAAGACTTTCACATTACGTTCCTAGCTATTTCTATAAACATTTCCAGTCAAAGAATAGTCTGATTAAAGAACAGTAACACACAAAGAGACAGCGTGTTTCTGACTGAACATGAGCACATTTACACACATCCTCCACCCAATACACACACATGCACCCCTGGCCTTCTCATCTCTTGGCTCCTCCCCTCTTGAGACTCATGGAGAACTATAATTAGCCCCCTAACCTTTTACTGCTCTAAAAACCTGAACAGCAGCATGGGTAGCAGGCATGTGTGTATGAAAGTGCTCCTTTTAATGAGCACAATACCTGTGATCAGGGGTGTAATGTAACCAAGTACATTTACTCAAGTATTTAAGCACAAATTAAAGGTATTTGTGATTGAGTACTTCCCTTGTAATGCTACTTGATACTTCTACTTCACTACAATTCAGAGTCAAATGTTTTACTTATACTACATTGCATTAAATGGAGAACTTAAATCACTCGCTGCATTGCAGATTCTGATTCTTAATACAAAATATAACTCAAACTAATATGTTAATATAAAAGTTAAGATACACAGCAGTGGACAGACTAATTTAAATCAGATCCACCTTTTTTTAGGTGAACACATGAATGCATCACTCATAATTCATCAACATATGATTCTGAAATGGGTCATTCTGCATGAATACTTTTATTATGACGCTTGTATTTGTATCCTTTTACTCGAGTGTAATTTTAAACGCAATACTTGTAACAGAGTATTTCTACACTGTGGTAGTAAAGATCTGAATACTTCTTCTGCCTGTGATTATGAGTAGCTTATTAAAGACTGTGTGCTAGCATATGAATAGACTCATCGGTGAGACTACAGGAAAGCAGGTGTTTGACTCTGCAGTGCAACAAAGCCATGCTGCAGTGTCAGTCAGGTGAGCCGTCTCACCCGCACTGACCCATTTAAAGGTCTGTGTCCAGAGGTTCACGAGCTAACCTAGCTCGTGAGGAGGTTAGCCAGCGTTCAACTGGACACGTCGCTCCATTTGTTCCGTTTTAAGCTCGGCTTAAAACATGAAACCCACCAGCCTGGAGATAGGTGAACTGTCACATTTGGTGTTTTGTTGTGTGTGTGTGCGTGTGTGTCAGCCGTTTCAGAGAGGTGGGATGTTACCTGCTGAAGCAGTGCTCGCAGTGCGCTGCCCTCTCATTCACCGTTAACACGTAGGAGTAGGAAGGACAGGCGAACACCATCTCACCCACAGAGAAGTGCCTCACCGCCCGCAGGCCTCTGCCGCTGCCCGGGCTCAGGAACCTCTCCGTGCCTTCTATTCCCTCGTTCGTCATGGTTTTACTGTTGTGTTTACGGTTCCTCGCTCAGATACTACCGGGGCACCACCTGAGCACGTCTACTGGGTGCTATAAAAGCTTCAGTGCCCGAGTCCCGTCTTCTTCTTCTCCGGTCCCCTCTGTCCGGTGTAGCTCTCATCGCCCCCTGCTGGAGAGGCGACGATACGGACGAACAACTAGTGTACAAGTATGTGTAGAGTACAAGCACGAGGGAATGTAGGGCTACTGATGGACTGTCTGTGTACGAAGTATTTAGATGCTTAGATGTTTATTTATTTGCACAGTTTAAAGAATAAAATAAAAATAAACAAACATAACAGAGATACTGTTATGTGCTGTTATCTGTTTGTTTGTCTACCATATTTTACGTACTTGGCAATAAACGGTTCTGAGATAAATAATATCACAGTGCAGGAAGAGGCAGAAAGCCAACTGGGCTTATTTGAAGCTTCCACCTATATCATATTAGAATGTCACAATATTACAGAGAACATAAAATGAATATGACTACGTAAAATATTATTAACAAGATGTTTTCACAAGATATGAAATATGATAATGTCAATACATTACAAACAAGAAAAGAGAATGTGATTGTGTCGATGTGTTAGAGTGTGTGCATATGAGTGCATGTGTGAGCGTGTGAGTTAAGCGTGGGCTTGTATTTGTTCAGGGGATATTGGTTTATACACCTGCATTATCTTTAAACAAAGTAAAAGTACTAGTACCACACTGTGAAAATACTCCACTACAAGTAAAAGTTCTGCAATCAAACCCCTCCTTAAGTAAAAGTGTTATCAGCAAATGTACTTCAGGTATGAAAAGTAGTCAATGTGCAGTAAAATGGTCCCTCTCCACTATTATATATGGTGTTTCTGTATTAATATTACTCTTGCATTGATGTGTTTGTTATATTTTACTGCTGTAGAAGATTATGCAAATTTTAACTACTACTACAGCGATGCATCATATTCTAAAGATCATCATACGTTTGTAGCGTCACTGTCGTGTGAGAACCACGCATCTCTAAAAAGTAAACTTTTCATGAGCTCTGAAAAACAGATTTCAGCTTCGTGATGGTGCATTTTCCAGCTGATCCAAGAGGGTTAAAGTGTTTATTTAGCTTAAGAATGAGCATTTTCTCAAACCATAAAGGAACACTTAAATGTACCTTGTTACTGTCCACCACTGTCTGCACTGATATGGAAAGCAATTAATTATATACTTGCCTCGTCTGCTCTCATTTCTTGGCTTTTTTTCAATGTTTTTGAGATTGTGTCCCTTTTAATTTGACCTCGCCTATGTCGTCTCTGTAATGTGTGATTCTATGTTGTCATGTTTTAACTGCCTGCTGACTTAACTTACTTGCTTTTGCCTGTTCTAATTTCACATTTGTTTTTATTGTTATATTAATGGCTAATTCAGCATCTGGCCAAGGAACAACAGTTGAAAATGAGCCTTTTGTCTAACACTGGCACATTTACCTCAATGTTTCTCTGTGCATTGCACATAATAGCTATCCGATGTTTAATCATAAATAAACAATTCTATCAAATATGCCGTTTGCACTATTTGTAACCCTGTAGAAAGTTAACAAAATGACCTGTACATAGTTTTTTTTTTGTTTTATATACATTTCTATGTAGTTTCATATCTGCCTGCTTGTACATCATTTCAGGTTTGTTTATCTTTGTTGTCCTTGTTTTACTAGCATGTCTTTGTGTATCTTTCTGTAACTTTGTTGTCAGCACCGTGTGCAAATAAGCTACTGGAAGTTGTCAACATCCTAGTATTTCTCAACAAACTGGGTCAATATATAGATGATTCTGATTAACTGGGGCTCTGGGCATTAAATATTGATGTTAGTTTCAAGAAAATAAATGTGTCCTCACTTTTATGCACATGTCTGTGTGAAGGTGCTCCAACAAGATCATTTGATCATTTTAAAGTACCAACTTACCAGAATTACCATTAAACAGACAGATAGTTGACAAGTTAACACATAATGATGTGTATTTCTAGTCTGGATCTTTTTTCATAGTTTAGGTAAGACTGAGTGCCAATTAAGAAAAGACGTAATGCTTCTGCATACTAGTATAGTTCAGAAGGTCCTCTTCAGTTCCAGTACTACAGAGACCCTGTGAACAAAGCAAGGTCTGGTTTTCTGAGTTGAAAGATCTTGGCTGGCCTGCAGAGAGCCCTGATCTCAAACCCATCCAACACCAATGGGATGAACTGGAACACTGACTGTGAGCCAGGCCTCATCATCCAACATCAGTGTCCAACCTTAATGCACGTACGGGACAAATCTCTGCAGCCAGGTTATCAAGTCTTTTAGAAAACCTTCCCAGAAGAGTGCAAACTGTTATAGCGGCATGATTTTGAAAAGAGATGTTCAACAATAACATAAAGTGATCTCCACATACTTTTGTTTTTCATGTTATCTCAGAGGAACATCGTGAACCACGGCTGTCTTCCCCAGTTGGTACAAAATACTGTAAACACTGTACACTGTAAATGTGTCACTACATTAACGATATGGCTTTTGCCCAGGAAATATTACCCATTAGCAGAGATTTAGATTACTCATTACAGGATGTTGTTCAGTGTATTATGTGGGTATTAGGACCACAATATGATGCCATGCAATTCATTAATTCATTGATTAAAAGGTCTATCAAGGTTTTAACGCCCAAAATGCTGCATCCTTCACACATCATAATGTTTGGAGGTCAGGCTGCCATTCACTCATAAGATCCAAACCAGATCAACAATATTTGACAGGTGGATGGAAAAAGATCCTTCTTTAAATATTATAGTTTCAGAATACATGTAAAACGCAATTTGCATTGGAGGTTATTGCAGGTAGTGCTCCAGCTCCACAACTGCATCACTGTGAGAAGTGAAACAGACCGACAGACACGTCGATATATATATATTCTGGGTACGTTTGTGTTTTTGTACAGTGTCCATTGTGAGCTCGCACCATCGACCACTGAAGCGAACCAAAATACTCGACACGGCTCAGTTTTTATATATATATAAATGCATTTATTTAAGTTAATAATTTCTCCTCATTCAAAGTTGAATTTCTGCAGTATCTATAAAACAGGGGACAGTTAGAAGCGCTGTACAGTCTGACAACAAAACTAGGAACTGCAGCCAAGTACACTGTGTATATATGTACATACTGTACACACACACACACACACACACACACACACACTGATGTAGGTATATACAAAAATATACACTTTTACATGTGTGACCCCTCGTGCCATATCCCCCACCAGTCGTTCAATGAAGCCACTCTCCTCTTAGAAAACGCATCATCACCCCTTTAAATCATCGATTACTATTTCACCTTCCTATCTGTCTTTACTGGTTGATTATACAGTATTTTGTCTCATGTGCGTGTAAAGTCCCTCTTATGCCCCGACTCACACACAACGTTACAGTCACTCGTAGCAAAAGATGGAGGAGCTTAAGCAGTCCTGAGCTGGAAGTCTCAGCAGGGCTTTTCACATATCAGAAAGGTGCTCTTCGGTTAATCCTAAAATGGGATTTTAAGGTGGGCTGAAGGGGGAAGACATATCTTTTGTTAGGGAAAATCGTGACTTAACTCTGCTCCTTGTTGGAGGGAAAAGCTGAGAGAACACAAAGCTTGACCTTTACGCCTCCTTTCTTGTTAAGGTCCATCAAATTAAGCCATTGATTGTCTTCCTTCAAAACACGAGTATGATCAAAGTCCTACTGGCTCAGGGGGAACACGCTCTTGTTCACCGACTGGTGTTCAGTTACACGCCCCCTTTTAGTGCCGATAAAGATGCCTGTATATAAGACGGACACCGGATCAACCGCTAAGAGATGTCCTCACCCCGGGATGTCCTGCAGGTCTAACTGAGACTGGGAAGAAGAATGAAATACACCACATATACTATCCGCAGTTCTCTGCGTCTCAATCTGCATTTCCAAAGACTTTTAACCCTTTTCATTCTTCCTCACACAGAGAAAAACAGGAAGGAGAACTTTGGCACGTTGTGCTAAAGATGTAAACATTTAATCATCCAATCAAAATGAGGCGCTGGACTACTTAATCATGACAGTCGTTTCCTCTGCGCATAATATAGAAATAATAAAAAGTAAAATAGCAATCTCTTCAACTTCACAAGAATAAGACTGGTTTAAAAATGAAAGGCTTTAAACAACATGTCTGAACCGTTGTAGCAGACAGTATTGCCCTGGTCGCTCGGGTGTGTGCGGTTTGGTCCTCATGCCTGCTCATGTTTGTACTGCCTGTTTACAGTTTAATGACAATAGAACTAAGACAACAAGAAAAATGTCTGAAACTCTCAGTGGTGCATTGTGCATCAGAAAGTTACTACCTTGAGTTCCTTTTTCTTTCCTGTTGTGGTTCTTTACTTGTTAACAAGAAGTGTTACAATAGAGGGCGCTGTACACCACAGGAAAACATAACGGGGACAAAGTCCAGACACTTTGAAAAGAAAGACCTTCTAGTATCAGGTTCTCATCAGCAACATTCAAGCATCAAAATTTGATGACAAATGCTAATAATTGAGGATTGCCAAACAGTTTGATGTCAAAAAGACATCAAGTTAGGAGAGAACATTCAAGTATGTACCCGATTACCAGGTCAAGACCTGACAAACTCTTATCAAACATATCAAGGAGATGTAAAGGAATAACTGGTAAAATAAATGATAGTACCTACATCCAACGTATCCAAAGAAATCCCAAACCTCAGACCTGCCCTATAAATTATCATCAAGTTTACACCCATCAGGCTCAAACAGCTGTTCGGTCTACAACATGCGTGTGACATATGCTGCGGTCCACCGAAGCCTCTGATGAGACCACTGTTTGGATGCTAAATTGAGGAAAATTTACACCATCAATTCCAATCAGCTTCTACAATTATTGATTTTAAACATTGTTGAGAAATTAAGACAACTGAGAATGTTTCATATTCTTTCTGCAGAAATCTAACTGAAACCTTAAATCAGATTTTGGGCCTTTGAGTCTGTCCACAGAAGCTTTCCTCACATCTAGGCTCACCCTCTGGTCCTGTGCCTCGCAGCACAGTGCAGCGACCTGTCAAGTCACAGGATCGGCTTTTTCAACCGGCTGCAGTCTTAGCTGAACTCCGCCCACCCCGCTTACAGTCGTGTGAATGTTTAAGACAAGGCAAACATCAGGTACAAAGAACAAAATGGCAGAAGACAAACAAAGTGATGGAACAGAGGATGAAAAAGTATCAGACAGCACATCAAGCATGAACAGCTGTCTTTGTCCGATTCGGTAATACAGTAAAACAAAGAAATCAACATTTACAGGTAAAGACGTGAATGTGAGAGATGGAGAGAAATATTGAGAAAGAGATTTGACATTAAAGAACACTTGAGGCTGCAACTTCTTCCGTGAATAAACTCAGAAATAAAGGATGACTTTTATAAGCCATTTCTGTTGTACAGCACTGTATATCCGTTCAAAGATATTTGGTGTTTGTTGTTGCCAAGTGATGAGTCCCTCCAACTTTAATCACAAACAATTTCCCCCAAACTATACCATCATTACTCATCAGTGAATAAAGGCATCATAGCAGGATCATAGCAGTTAAGACTAACCCATGTTGAAGCCCAGGACAGGCTAGAGTTGCAAAGATGCACAACAGGCATCAGGTAATGAACGATAGCAAACCTGTACGTGTACTGGAGATGGTATCAGTAACACTTTCAGGTAACAAAGAACCATGAAATGGCACAATGCTGCTTGGTGACACTGAAATATTGTTGCTTATAAAGTAGCTCGCCAAAATAAACAGCAAGCGTTCTCATTACTACTTTGTATCAGCCAAAACTGAGGAGTCCTGCTTGTGCAATCAGAAAAAAACCTGATCACCTCAAGCAGAAACAGAGCGAGGACAAACAGTAAAACCTTGTTTATTGCAGCTTCAAACTTCTGAACAGATGGCTCATCTAACAGGCACGATGAGGAAAAGAAAAGCATCTTGATGGGAACCACTTCTTACCGAGTGTAACTGTGGGAGCCGGTTGGTGATGCATGCAGCTAGAAGCAGCTTTGTGCATGCACATTTTATAGTTTGACTACAGCCAGGAAACCGTTTTTCTTTTTTGCATGATATCTGTTCACAGACCGGAATAAGCAAGGTCTTACTCTCGTCGACAAGTGGGACCGTGTCGAAATGGTAGCCACATACGAGCGCTGGTGTTTCCTTCTATTGCCATGCAGGAGCAGGCAGGTGTATGTTGAAAGTATATTATGAATGTTACAATTATCCTTTTGCAGCCTGTTACCTCAAGGGAAAAAGCTGCAACATTAACTCCTGTTTGGGTGTGATTATTAGACAGCAACCTTCCTACAATGGCAAGATTAGACACAGGCAAAGAAAGTTATCGGTGCAGGAAAAGAAGATGTAGAAACTGAGCTGCTCCACAGGGAGCAGTTAGAGAGCAGCGAGAGTATGGAAAGAAAAAAAACTCTTTTAATCACTCATCTGGTATTCCTCAAACACAAAAACATCCATTCAAAATTTGGTTCCATTTTTTTTTTTTGACAAAAGCAACAAAAAAGCAATTTTTGTTAAGAGATTTTTTTTCTGTGTATTGTTTCTTTAGAGACATAATGGTGTAGAAGTGGAGATGCTGTGGCAGCCAGTGCTACAGCCGGACGACAAACAGTAAATCCTGAGGGGTGGCTTCAAGACACTTCCTGGCCGGCCAAACCAAACCGGTGTCAGGCCCCATCCAAAGCAGAGAAGTTCCTCCCTGGACCCCCTCCCCAAGACACAATCTGTAGAAAAACTGTGTAGAAATTAAAGTAGAAATCCCAGCATTCCTCTCTCCACGTTGCCTCTCTTTTCTCTGTTGATCCTGTGAACAAATGAGGGTAAACCAGAGGAACAGCTCAAGGATTCGAGTCCATTTCCTCCCTTCACGTCCCTCTACACCCCAAACCTCACCGAAACCGCAACCTGAAGCCTCCATCTGCCGTTACAGACACTAGCTCGAGGCCCAAGCTTCAGCTCGGTGTGGTGACACAAAGAGAGAGAGAGTACCGGAGAGGAGCAACACCACCAACGTCCCATTCTTTCGAGAATGAAAAAAATCTCCTGCGAAACCTCCGTGAAGAGTTAACAGCAAGAAATAAAAAAGATCAATAATAAAATAAAACAATTACAAAGTAAAAAGAGTTCTACCTCACCAGCTTTAGAGAAAGTAAAAGAACAAAATCAGCCTCTGGAACCACCAATGAAAAAACACTGAGGTATGTAGTTTGGATGGAAAGCCTCTTCATCGCTTTTATCCTCATCATGATCATCACCGTCACCATCCATCCACCAAATTCTGTTTACTCCATTATGGTCTACAAGCCCCTCCCCCAGTAGGTGTGGCTCTTTGTTATCTTGGGAGGAGTGAGGGTGGGGGAGAGGTGTATAGACGTGACTGGCAGCACCTCTGAGGAGGAGGAGGAGCGAGAGGGATCTATTTATCCATCAAGTTTGTCTTTCTCCGTGTTTCAGAGTCTGTTAGTGTCTCTATCCATTATCCAGCTCTTCCAGGGTTGGTAGCGCCCCCTATGATTGTAAATTGAGGGTGAACTTCCACTGTTGGTTGAGGCTCGGGCTGCAGACCTCCACAGTGAGTCCGCCCATCCTGGCGCTGCGGCTGTCCAGACAGACGTTACTGCCCACGTGACGAAGCTTCGCGTTGGACTCAATCTGCTCCCATTTCTGGTGAGACACAACAATGTCATGACGTAAACTGTATAGAAATGTTACAAATGTGCATTGGTATTGGTTCTACTTTGCAAGGGCGAGTAGAGCTCTGGTAAAGCCGTCCAAGCAAAGTGGGTGTTTGTACCTGTCTGCTGTCGTTCTCTCGACAGCCTTGTAGTTTGATGAGGGAGCCGGCCGTTCGGTCCACCACAGTCAGACACAAGTCCATGTGTTTGACTGACTTATCCTTCGTCAGGGCCCACTCCTTTAAAAAAAAAGGGATTAAAACATTAGTATAAGTTCGCAAACTCTTTTGAAACAACATTTTTAAGTCAGCTTTCTTACTTGTGACGACCAGCTAAGACTATGAGCACAGCAGCATTAATCAAACAAAGGACGTCTTCATCAGATTGGCTGATCCAGTACGTCTCAGATGAAATGTAAGACACTGTTGCTCCATTAATGTTTGTACTGCACTGATTTAACAAACTGCAATAGACAATAGAGGTGAGGTTGGGTGACTTCATGTCGGTATCTGTGTGATATCGTACTCTACAGCATAACTGACACCCACAGGAAGAATTATTAGCGAGCATCAATACATGCCCCCTCAAAGCATATTGCCTAACGCATTGTCATTTAAATGTCTAATTCAAAAAAGCGTTGGTTAATTTCAAGCTAGATTTGAGGCAGTAAAATTAGGTCTTAAAAATGAAGAAAAAAAAAAAATCACTCATATGGCAAGTTTTGCAATAATGCAAAAATGATTTGGGGTAACTTTAACTTTATGTGACTCTAGTTTTCCAGACAGATCACTACACCTGTCATTCTATGTTAGGAAGGAACTATTGCTGCAGACACAAACACACTGGTACAAGCCTATGCACACACACACACACACACACACACACACACACACACACACACACACACACACACACACACACACACACACACACACACACACACACACACACACCAAAAACAAAGTTAAGATATTTCCATATACAGATGTTCTGTATGAAAGTTGCAAGTGTGCAAGTATGCTGCTTGACTGACAGACAGACTACATGTATCAACTGTAATGATATTCACTTTTACTTGCTGCAGAATAAGGATAATTCTTGGTTTCTCACTTGACCTTTGTTTGAGACTACAGTCTTGCTAATAAAACTCAACTTTTGTGCACTAATAGACCTTTAATAGTAGAATCCTATGACATACTCCCATGTGCCTTCACCACTAGTGCCACCACTTACTACCAAGGTGTCTTTAGAGCAAAGAAATTGACAAGCTGACCTGTGTGTGTCGTTGTGGTAACGCTACCTGGTTTCCCCCGGCGTTGTGGCATTCGTAGATACCCACCACGCCGTCGGCAAAATGACCCAGAGTGTCCAGACAGTTTCCTCCCTGCTGCAACGCTCCAAACGCTATGTCCTGGTGGTCTGGGACTCTGAGCACACACACACACACACACTGTGTTGTTAAAATGTTTACTCTATCATGATCGTATCAAATCCATAAAGATATTAAGGCGTTATTAGTGGATAGTGGATAGTGAAAGGTAAAACTAAAGAGGACAGAATTAGGGCGAGCTAAATAGAGAGAACAATGTTTTTGCACCATTTTCTTCTGACAAATAGGAGAATATAACCTAATTACATCTGAAATTATTTAAATTAGGACCTGTTATATTTATACATTATTAATCTCATTCAAACAAGTGACAAATTGCAAACTAGCCAAAATGTAATAAGAGGCATAATTGCTAGTTCGGGTTAGTGTCACCACAGTCATTTGTGAGTCTTATTAAAGCATGAAACATTAGATCACAGCACACAGGAGATCACAGGCACACTGATGCTCCTGGCAGAGCTGTGGTCTCCTACAAACCAAGCCCTCGTATTACTCAAACTCAGGTGGGAGGTATTCTTAAGTGCCATTTAAGTCTTATTTCATAATATCATAGATTGTGTCATACCATGTACCCTGTAATATAACATAATATGCTATAATTGTCTTACCGCAGTTCAGGGTAGACATTCTCCAGGTACCATTTGAATGGCTTGCATCCTAATTTCTTCTTCATCTCCAAACGACTCTGGATACTGAGACGGAGAGAGAGTGAGAGTGAGAGAGAGAGAAAAAGAGAGAGAGCGTTAGAGGGTTGATCACTTGTGGTTCTCAAAGCGTTTCCCAACATTGATTAAGTTATAGCCACTCTGTCAGGGCAGATAGTGGAGGCCGAGGGGATAATAACTGCTGAGGCTGGCACTGGAGGAAGATGACAGGAGTGTTCCCACAAGGTCACATAATGAGCATTTTTATCTTTGTCCAGCTGCACTGCATGGATGTCAGAGGACTTATTTTTGTGTGGCCTATTCTGAGAAAAGTGGCAAAAGGGTGAAAAGGCACACAGCAGCAGCAGTCAGCTAGTATACAGATAAAAGAGAAATAAAACAATCATGGATCCAAGAATACAACAAGGGTCCCGCAAGGCATGACTAAAACCTCTCTAACTAGCCTGTTTAATATGGATCCTCTTTACCAATGCGTTGCACGTCCATCATTTTCTTTTGCTTTGATGTATGCTGTCATAATCTAACACTAATCCCTTCAGCACGTCAAATAATACGGCAGTCTTTTGACTTTTGCCCTCTTTTAAGCCACATTAACTGCCTCATGTCACTTCAACGAAAGGAGTAGCTGACTTCTTTCACAGCTGACATGCTGCTAATTGGCAATCTAATTAATATGCCCATTCATGTGGCTGCTTTTGTCGTTTTATGATCTAGCTACATTATGCTGTCTGACTCCTGTCGGGCTCATACTTCATGGTACTTACTTTCCGTAGGGGACATTTCTCGCCGAGGGGACGGCCGCATAGTAGAAGTTTTTAAACTCGTCCATCCACACCTCTGCTGCTCTCCTCGTGTTCCTGAGAGACAGGGGAGAAAAGGAATATGAGGAGAGGGTGACAGAGGACAGACAAAAAGAGACATGAAACAGAGAGTAGGTGAGGAAAATTCAGGTTGGAAAAGGAAATTAAAACGAAGAGAAGGAGAGAGATAGAAGAAGAGAATGAGACAGAGAGATGGAAGAACAGGGACAGAGAGACAGATTTAAGATAATGATGCGTGGCGGGCAGAGTCAAAGTTGCATGGGAGCTGTGGAGGGCTGCTGTCGTTTTGGTCGACGAAGATTTCTTTGGTCAATTAGCCATTTTTTATGCATTTCCCACGCTGAATGACTTAATTGTGAGATACTAATGAGCACATCCCTGGTAAACATAAGATTTAAAGTGGTGCTTTTGTGTGATTCTTTGGAAAAAATTCAGTTTCACAAGTCTGTCGATTGAATTGAGTGTTAGTTGACTAAATATCTCTTTGGTGGAGGACAGCCCCTGAGCTGTAACCAGACATGTCATTTCTGTGCTTTTGTTTTGATGATGCAACACAGTGTAACATGTAACACTGTCAGAATGAATCACAATTTGATATTCTTTCTAAAACAGGGGTTTTCAAAGTCGGACACAGTGGGCTCAGATGAAGTTGAGACGGCACTGGATTACTTTGATACTGAAGAACATTTTAAAAACACGATGATTCTCAGGCACGTTTTGGAGTTAAAAGGAGCATACTGAATATAAAAATATGTGTATCATGTCTGTGTGTTCATGTTTGACTGATTTTGACTACATGACTTAAACGTGCCAGACTGTTAGAATACACACACATTGAAGCAAGTCAACACTTGTAGCTGCACTGTTGTATTTACCTGGGCTCAGTCTCATGAGGTAGGATTACTGCGTTGGCATTACTGGGTAAAAAGGTCCACGTTCCACATTTGGGAGGATATTCACTTGGCATGGTGAACAGCAAAGTTATCACGCTAACTTCATTAGAGGTGATTCATCAATTGATTGGCAGTGCAATTAATCAGCAGCCATTTGAATTAATTGCTTCAGTCGTTTATTAAAGCAACAAAACAAACAAAACCAGCTTCACAGTTGTGAGGATTTGATGCTTTTGTTGTTTTTAGTGATAATAAGCAGAAGATCTTTGAGTTTTGGATGGTCAGTTGTAGAAAACAAGCAATCCAAAGATGTCACCTCAGGTTTTGGTTTTTCTGACAGTTTTTTTAAACGAAACGATTACTCAAGAAAGTAATTGTCAGATTAAATCGATGATGAAAATGATTGTTAATTTCAGCTCTTATCTTTATTATCATAAGACAGCTGACAACATTTGAAGAAGTTGTGACTGCAAAGACTCGTCAAATCTAGCCAAGTAAAGAGCCTGTACCTGTGAAGCTTTAACGTGGCTCTGTGGCGACGCACCTTTAAGGAAACGCTGCCTGCATTGCTTTTGTCTGTGACACAAGACAAATAACTGACTATAGTGTGATCAATAGAAAATGGTAATTCTTAAAAACAAGCCAGCAGTGAAACTGTGTTTTGTTGCTCAGACAGGATTCGTCAACACAGTGAATGTCTCTGTTTCAAACATTAAGGAGTAGGTTTGCCTGAATGAACATCCAGACATTTCCAACATCCATTTACTGGACTAAAAGACCCCAAAACCATCAACACTCGCATCTGATCATCAGTGAACTCAAAATGCAGATGGCAGGGCCGTCACCCCGACAGTATCTACTATTTTCAACATGCAACTAGCTTCAGCTTGTGCAGAAATATTTGTATTTAATCCTGATCCATCTGCTCCCCAGCAACCTGCTGTAGGCAGCGTACCCAGAGGGAACTTATATGACTGATTTATGAGGTTTGGAGGGGATTTTTTTCACATTGATTGTAAGATGGTCCCGTCTCCACATGTCCAATATAAACAATATTTGGAAATTGATTATAAAAGCCATCCAAGCAGGCAAAACAGGAGCTGTCTCGTAGCTCCACACGGTCACCAACAGCAAACACAAGGGGGGTTTCTGGGGCTTTATTCAACACTGAAGGGATAGACAATGAACTGAAGCAGCCTCAAAGCACAGATGAAGCTGTTCTGCATGGCGAGTGTCCATTGTTAAGGCTGATACAAGAGAACACCACTGTGCACCCATCAGTTAATAAATTATATTTGGAAATGTCGGAAAGGGTGATGCAACTACTTTTAAGACTTCAGAAATGTGGACCACAGGAGGCGTCTAAGCTGAAATGGCAGAGACACATCCACAGCCAGCACGATATATAATAAGCTCTGAGACCGTTTGATCGGATGTTGAAGTTCATATCCACTGGAGTCGTCTCTCTTTTCGGTTTCATCCAGCTCAGGGTCCATTCACAATTCATAAGAATTACCTCAGTGCAAAAGTATTATTCAGAATTCAGTGCTCTTTACTTGTGCGTCGAAGGGTTTATTTCTATGTTAAACTTCCCTGTTGGTCATTTTCATCTGCAGCTGGAATCAGAAATGTCACTCAGCATCTCAGAGTGACCATTTCAGACACCAACTTCAAATAGAGATGAGCTAATTCCAAAGATACTCCACCATCTTTGTTTATGATGCCCTTCATTTCTTTGTTTGCTCCACAGTGCTATGTGGAACCACAGAAGCCACAGCCACTTTACACTCCCTGTTATCGGTTTGTTGAAGTTCGTAATCAGGTCAATGAGGGTTTGTCGGGCTCTTTTCCAGGGGTGGTTACTTGTGGTTGGGGACCGTTTCAAAGCAGAGATCCATATCTTTCCATGGATCATGCTTCCCATTACAAATGTTCACTGATTATGTTGTCACATCTATCAGAGCTCTCAAGGCCAGCACATGCAAAAACAGACCTTCTATATTTAAAAGAACATTCTTTCTCAGTCTGTCTCTTTTTTAATTGTTTTTTAATTGTTGGTGCTTGGTTTTTATTATCCAACACTGGTTTAATTGTCAAAGTTGAGGTGAAACTCAATAATGTGTTTACAACAGTACATGATATAAGAGACTAAGGCAGAAATAATTTCAGTATAAAGCGCTTTGTATCGGGGGGGGGGGGGAAACCATATGAAAAAATAACTCATGATCATGAATCATGATTATAATATTTTCCAAACAAGAAATAATTATTGGTAAAGCTGCTCAATACATCCACACTCTGATATCAGATATAATATTAGATTAGATGCCATCTGCTATTTTGGTTATTGTAATATTATGATGCAGCCTAAATGTTGACAAAAGGTCCATTTAGCAGCTGTTCTGGAGCTTTTCAATCATATCACATGGTCTTCCTCAGCAGTTAGAGTTTGCCAACTAGGCATGTTGAAAATATTAGTTCAAAGGAATAGTTACTTAGTTAATACTTAAAAGGAAATTTACTTATTCGCTTTGATATGGACAGGATGAGCTGGGGATCAAACCCCCAACCCTGCTATTAGTAGAAAACCCATTAATAATAAATGACAACAATCATGTAATCATGACTTGATGGTTCATTAAAGGTTCTCTAAACGACACTCAGAGCATTACATGTTGAGAGCCGTGTGGAGGCAATACAAACGCTCTGAATTTTGTATTGAGCACCTTTAGAAGGATGCACAAGATATCCAGTGTACTAAACAAATAGCAGCAATGCAACCTGTGTGAATGGGACATACTGTTCTTCAGTAATTGAATGAATTAATGAGATGAGTGTAGCCTATATAGTTAATGAGAGTCCAACCTGCTTGGTGTGTGCGTGTGTGTGCGTGTCTGTGTGTTACCTTGCAAACACAGTCCCGCTGCCCCCAGGGAAGGTGTATGGATGCTGCTTTCTGAAGACGTGGCCAACTCTGCTGCAGGGGATGATCTCCAGACTGCCACCGCACTGCCACACGCGAAATGAGATTTCTGAAACACACACACACACACACACACACACACACACACACAGACACAGACACACAGACACACACACACACACACACAGACACAGACACACAGACACACACACAGATGTCACAACACATTTGTTCCAACAAACTGTTTCTATAAAAATATCACAGTGGATTTTCATAAGCAGTATGGAAGACGTTTTGTGGGGTTGTTAACTCAGGACGTCTGCGCCTCATTAATGTTTTTGTCAGTGTACTGATATTGTCTGCTCCCCTCTCTAACATTGTCTGCATTTGAATAAGTGCTGTTTGAATGAGCGCACAAGTAAATCAGTATCTGAATTGTCAATCCAGCTCTGAATCATTGTGCCGTCTCGAGAGAAGAATCATTCTGTTTATTCTTGACTATCTCCCCGCTGAATTCAGACAAAAGCTACAGGGAGACACAGCTGTTATTTTCTCATTGTGTTGTTTGCAAACGATCTCTATTGTGTGCACTATAGTTATCATCACGTTAAAACTGTAATTTTCTAAAGATCAACTGTAATCTAGAAGACTCTTTTACCAAAATACGACGACCAAATTACAAAAGGATTTTCTTGGCACACAAACCCAAAATAATCTCACGAGTTGATCACAGCGTGAGACACATCACAAGAGACAGTGCACATTTTATAAGAGAGCAGAAATCCAAAAGAAAGAAGTTACAAATGTGTGCCCGTTTAAGACTTAAAGGAATAGTTTGACATTTTGGGAAATACGCTGATTAGACTTCTTGTTGAGAGTTAGATAAAAAGATTGATGCCAGGCGTATTTGTATGTTGAATACAAAGCTACAAGTCACTTAGCTTAGCATTAAGACTGGAAACAGAGGGAAGCCTGACTGTCCAAAGGTAAGACACTCCACCTACCAGCCTGCACTCAAGAAATAGTCAAGACCACAAGTCCATGTTTAAACACAAATTGTTATTTTTACACTTACAAGACCAGTCGTTGTGCTAAGCTAACTGGCTGCAGCATCTATTAAAGTACAGACGTGAGAACTCTGGTATCAATCTTCTCATCTAACTCTCGCAAGCAAGTTAAAAACTGCATTTCCCAAAATGTCAAGCTATTTCTTTAATGCCTCTGGTAAAACTCCTGTCCCATCTGTCGCATCTAGAAGCAGATAGTCGGGAATGAGACAGTCGGGGGTGCAACACATTACAGTGTAATGGTAAAGACTGACAATAGTTTATTTTTGTTACCTGCCACTTTGAATCACACTCTGTTTTGTTTCTTTCACTCACCTTTATATTTATTATTCATCTGCATCTGTTACTGTGTCTTATTTTCATCTTCTAACCACCATCGTCTGCGGTTATTCTACCGACTTCATGCTCCAGTGTGACTCATCTGAATTTGCATTTAGACTTTAGCGGCACTCACCAAGGTTTTCTCCTCCCCATACGTCCATCATCATGTCGTACTTTCCCAGCAGCTCAAAGTAATCCTTATCCATGACAAATAGACCCCCTGCTATCATTGGAGTCCTACAGGGGCAGAGAGAGAGAGAGAGAGAGAGAGAGAGAGAGAGAGAGAGAGAGAGAGCAGGTGGATGGAGCGAGGAAAAGCGCGAGATTAGTAGAAATAGTGGAAACTGCCAAACAAAAGTGTGTCGCTCATGTATGATTGCTAGAGTGGATGTGTGAGTGTGAATGACTTACTTAATGGGGGCGATGGGGTTGCCTTGTCTGGCTCGTCTCTGATCCAGAGTCATGTAGTCCCATTTAAACACCAAATTCCAGTCAAAACCTACAGGCATTAACACACACACACACACACACACACACACACACACACACACACACACAGAGAGAGGACCAAAGGACAACGCCATTATGAGCATTAGTTGCCTCTAAACCTGACACTGTATAAAGTTGTAATACTAGAATACAAAGGACGGGACAAAAAAAGTAATTGTATCAATAAAAATCCAGTTCACTCAGCCTGCAGTGTGGAAGACACAGTTTATGTGCAGTAACACTAAACATGCTGGGAGTATACTTAGCGGAAGTGTTTGTGTGTGAGAAAAAGCCACAACAGCCTCAAGTGAAAACTGTTAATGAAGTGGAACAACAGGTAGTAATGCTTCTAATACGCAACTACACAGAACAGCATGTGTACTGTACCTCCTTTCAGATCGGCCGAGGCTCCTACGTACTGGAAGTTGTCCATGTTGATGACATCAATGATAGGAGACACTACTCTGCTCTTGTCCTGAGAAGGAAGAACGGAGACAAAATACACAATTTGTCCTGAACAATCTCAGAATGGGAATAACAGGAAATGTGGTTCATTAATAAATATGTACGAAAGTCCAAGTTTTCCATGTTTTGTGTCGAGCAGAAGTAAATATTCCCCTCAACACCAATGACTCACACGTTTAGTTTACACTCTGTATTTAGTTTATCTCTGTGTTTATGAAGCAGAAGCCAGCTTTCATACAATAAATCACTCCCACAGCATCACATCTTACAGCAGTTTAGAGAAAGGATTGCTCAAGTGACCAGAATGACAACAACAGAAACAGGCCTCAAAGGTACCGAGTTAGTTTATTTATTTTGGGCTGAAACCTTTTGATATGACACATGAGGTTCCACCCACACAGACTGCATTTTTCCTTCTTTCTGTTTTGTATTGAGTGATTCATTATTTAGAGGTACAACTAAAGCAAAGAAAAGTCAATTACGTTGACAGCAAAATGTTTTAGATTTGGCTCGAGGCATTTATTAACTAGGGAACGACAAAACACCGCGTTTGGGAGGATCAAATACACAATCACACTATTTTCAGTCATATCAGATGAATATTTAAAGAACCTCAATTTTAAACAGTGTCCCACTTCAGACTGAGATTACATTTAATCAAGAGATTCCCTCTCAAGTCATTACTGGATGACTTCACTGAAGCTATCAACTCACTGTTAATCTTTTATGGAGTTTATGTTTATTCTGCCAGAGGAAATTACTGCAGGAAACGAGGGAGAGGTCGGGTGGTTTTTCTATATATCTGTACTGACTCTGGGAATAAAACCTGACTGATGTCTTCATGCATCATTTAGAGCTCTGACTGATGACTCTCTCTTTGCTGAAATAAATAAAATAAAGTTCAACACCAGCAAGTTATGACCTACTGAATCACAGGCCTATACACTTATTAAATTAAACTGAACATCACATTTTCATTTCAATAGAGGAAGGACATTTTAACCACGCCTGATCAGAAAAAGGAAATGTGAATTTTTGGGGCTGTGAAAATGTGCTTTTATACTGAAGGGGTCCAAACATTCCTGTGTTATTGAAGTCATGCGCTCCTTGTTTTTAACCAGACACTGACGGACTACCAGCACCAGGGGAGCTGCTTTGTAGTCGACCCCGACCTCTGACCTCTATGTGAAAGAGTGAAGGAGAGAGCTAATTCCCCTAACAATATGAATTACATCATCACCAATGTGAAGCAATTTTGAGCCCTGTGATGCAGTACATTTTGAAAACACTGCAAAAGACTCTTCAAGAAACTTGCATCTTGAAACATTTCCATTTTGTTTTGTTCTTAGGTCCAATTACAAGACATTACATCCTTTTAAAAGGTACAATGGTACTATGACACTACTAGCATACGGAAAACTCAATGAGTTAACAGTAATATATTGATACTTTACGTCAAAATATAAAAGGTGAGGACTGTTGCCATGTATTATATCTTCACTGTCACCTTTAAAAAAAAGCCTGAGAGGCAAAACTAAATTAAACTAAAGTTAAAGTGTTTAGATAAAGAAGGAGGTCAAATCAGAGTGACGTCACAAAATGGCGAGCTGCTCTACAGGGTCTGTGTTGACCGTTTATAGACTTATAGTATCACCCTCTTTGACCTTTGAGCCACACCAGTCTTTAACGGTCTCTCTTAAACAGGGCAACTTCAGTATGTTTGAACGAGAAGTCTATTTTCCCTTGTTTTTGGGGATGTAAAGATGTAAAAAAAAAACAAAAAAAAAACACGGGAAGTAAAAAGTCTAAGTTACCCTTTAACATCTCAACATTAAAATCCTTTCATTGTTTATCTGATTGGACTTGTTCATCTTTTACTTTCTTTGTATGTTCGATAATGTACTTTACTGATGTATAAAGGTGTGTGTGTGTGTGTGTGTGTGTGTGTGTGTGTGTGTGTGTGTGTGTGTGTGTACCTCAGCCACTCTCTCCAGTAGCGGCTCCAGCCAGTGGTCGTTACATTCACAGTGAGAGTCCAAGAAGGTGAGGACGGGTGCCGTGGAGGCATCTGCACCACGAACCCTTGAACGCATCAGTCCTGAGGGAAACATCAAAGATATACATTTAGAATGATTTCACCCCCAACCATTAACATGGGGGAATAACTGCATTCATGAAACATTGATGAGATGTTTCTTTAATATAAAACTTTCTTCTTCTAGCTACCTTCTCTGCGGTCGTTTCTCAACACGCGCACTTTTTCAATCTTCCCCAGCAGCGCTCCATCCTCCGCTGAAACACACGCAAAGTATGTAATTACTCAATGAACTTATTAGGTTTGTTTAGTTGTACAATTTGTTTGCGTGAATTACTCACAATTATCACTGTAGTCATCAACTAGAATGATCTCTTTGACCAAGTGAGAAGGACTTTTCTTCAGGACACTAAACCGAGAGGGAGAGGCAATTTACAGGAAGAAAAAACATATTGAAAATGTTTTCTTAAGTGGACAGCACACACACCATTCACCTACCTGACCACAGTCCGTAGCAGGGCAGAGCGAGCTTCATTGTGGAAGGTGATGACGACGCTGGAAGCCGGCAGGTCGGACGTCCACTGTTTATGTCTGCAGCTACACACACAAGAAAAAGACAGAAAAGCATAAATGCCTAAATGTGTAGAAATGCACAAACACTCCTACGCACAGGAGCGCACGGCTGAATGTGTGAGCAAAGCTGCGAGCTGCTCCCCAAACAGATTCTCAATACATGAACACAATAGATGGGATTCAACACACACACACGCACACACACACACACACACACACACACACACACACACACACACACACACACAGTGATGCTCTGCTGAAGCTGGGACTGACAGTGGGTTTTGAGAGCCGCGGGGCAAAAATCCCATGGGATCGTGTACGTGCGTGCATCATGTGTGTTTGTGTGTGTCGAACAGAGACAAATCCTGCCCCGACCTAAAAGTGAAGAACATGGGTGATAGGATGCTACTGGAGACAAGGAGCCAAGGGGAGGATGCATAAATCCTGTGGTAATGCCCTGTACACGCTATACATACATCACATGAGCAGATGTGTGAGTGTGTATCTGTGTGTGTGTCTGTGAAACAATTCTGTTTCAAGAAATGAACCATCACCTATAATTTAAAAGACTTACTGCCAACAGAAAGTTTGGCCTTAGAGGCTTTAACACACACCAGATGTATAGTATGTGCCGTTTAAAGAGTACACTACATATTGAGTGTATAGTACACCCTGTCAGTAAATTGTCTGTGTGCATGGAGTGTGGGGTCCTTTTGTCACAGCACCACGACTGTCACAGCAGCACTGGCTTTAAAACCCTGAAAACAGACAATTTGAAGCTGCATCAATCTTGAATTGACACAATCCTCCTGAACATTCCTGGTGCTGGTGTGTGTGTGTTTTATAGCTGGAGAATTAAACCTATACGTTCTTTTGATCTTGTGTTGAAAGCACAAATGAAGCAGCCTTGGCCTGAAAGCAAAACAAAAAGGCTGTTTTTTGTCTTCTAGAAAACCTTCACAAATCAGTGCTGCTGAATGCTGTGCAAATGACTCATCGCTACCAGATAAATAAGAGACACATCCCTGCTCTTTTAGCAGGCTAATGGCTCTAGCTGTCCCAGTTAGGTCAATATATCAGTGAGGCCAAACCACAGCCTTTACATAAATAGCCTTTGAGTCACACGGTGTGATACTGCAGGAACCAAAGAATGAACACGATGACATATTGTTGGAGGAGCACAGTGTTGGCAGCACTTTCACTTCTTTGTGTGTAAAGTTGATTTACAGCTAAACTTACAAATCACCAGGGCTCATATAAGGCTACCTGCTCTGCTCCATTTCTGGTTTTCATTCACAAAAATGTTCATTAAGAGTTGCATTACTTTGTCTTTATTTTAGTCCATTTTGGTATCGTATCTATACTCCTAATTTTTCTGATTAAGAAGCATGTAGCTACGTATACAAACACAATACACGGCTAGAGAACTGTGTAGAAATGGACATAATGTTTAATCTTTAATGTCCGATGTGAAGCAATTGCTGCATAACGATCATGTCCTTTTTCTGTAGTTCAATGTCACAAGAGTTGATGTAAATTCATGCTGTGAAAATATTATAGCAAAAAAAAACTCAAACTGAAATTAATTTACGCTTATTATTATTTTATTACTTCGTTGGTGCTCGGGCCCTGTTGAAATCGCTAAAGTTATTATTTCATGCATGGAATCATATTTTTGGGGGCTTTATTTTACTCGAAAACTCACCAAATTTGGCACGCTTATCAGGACTGGTGAACAATGTTATATTTTCTGACTCACCACCTCCCTCCTCCATCAACCTCACCCCTTCTTCCTCTAGCCTGTGGCCCCCTGATGAAATGACTGCAGTATTTATATTTCCAGTATTAGTAACTGGGTGTTTACGGCAACATTTCCAGAAAAAGTGCTGTTTTTCTACTTTGTATACACAGAATGCACACAGCTCTGAAAAATAACATGTTAGAAATGAATTTTAAATGCAGCCTCAATACTGATAAACTCTGAGCACAATTCATTTGTTTTCCTTCAAACTGAAATCCTGAATCAACCAGGACTGAAATCTTAAAGATTGCCAGGTTAAGGCTCGGTTGCACCAACAAGGATCAACTTTTAAACCCATTTAAATCAAGTTCCTTACAAAAAGTTAAGGGACAGACTCTATCAGTTGTTTTATGATGCTGCTGCTGAATTTCTTCCAAGATTCCGGTTCAGAAAGGAAACTGTTCTGGAGCTTTTTACTTTACTGTGAAAGAAGTGTTTTCCTTACGGTGCTGTTGTGCATGTTTATTTAATATTATTTGGCCAAATTGCTCCACTAATTTAGCCACAAGTTTTCCCTCAAAGACGGAGAAATTAGAGGATTATTAATCATTTTCATTTGGGTAAGCAGGCGTCTCCATATTTATAAAACTCTTTCATTTTGGTTTAAACTTGGATTTACTGAGCAGAGGTTAGTTTGTATTTGTGCGACAGAGCTCTGCTAAATTCTAAATCTGGATTTACTCATTTAAAACATAGTTTTTCTAAACTCTATTAAAACTGGTCCAACGTGAGGAGTCAGCAATAAAACCATTGTGAATCCCCATAACCCCGAGAGGTCCTTGAGCATAAAGTTGTAAATGAGCAGAATTCAAGATGAGCTGCAGACAGACGGATCTGATGAACTGAGAAAGCTTTGTGTTTATGTTTGAAATTATAAAAACAAATATGATAAAGTACAGGACCAGAATTAAGAGAATGATTCACTGCTGCAGGCGCCAACAAAAAAACTATTTCTCTGAATTGTCCACTGGTTCTGGTTAAGCTCAATAAAGAGCACCCAGGAAACACAACAGACTCCAGAGAGCTTTAAGGGTAAACTAGTTTAACTTAAATAGCATCATGGATTAAAATATGCAGTTTATTTTTCGGTCATGATCAATATCCTGCATAATTAATTAGGAAGGCAACAATAAAATATCGCAGACATAGAAATCAAAACATACTCAGTAAAATGTTATTCTAATAAAGGATCCAATAGATATTGTGTCATGATCTATTTTTTGTCCATTTAACAAACAGACCAATCTACAGCCATTAGGAGACGTTTTCTTGTTATTTATGGAGCAGACGGTGAACAGTGCGGGTCTGCTCTGCTGCCACTTCCTGGTCATTATCTGATCGACTACAATAGAGGGAGTTTCCAAGAGACTTTATCCAGTCTGGAACCAACTAGTCCAATAGACAGACGGCAATAACCGGTATGTACACAGACAATCCCTGCAATTTCACATGCAACAATAAAGGTTGAGGAACAGAATGACGCAGACAGTAAGCGTAATGATAGAGATACATACTGGTCATGTCTCGTATCAGGCACAGCTCTGTCCATACGGAGTTTGTCGCTCTCCACCTGGTTGAACTTGTTCCTGGCGTACGGATCCTGACCAGGTCGGACCACCGTGGCTCCAACATACAGATCCTGGTCAAAATCCTGCCAGCGCACCTTACCTGGAGACATACACACACACACACACACACACACACACACGCACATTAAACACACGGCCAATAAACATCCATAGAAGTTAGATGAACACACTATTTCAGTCTCATTCATTTGTGGTTTAACTGAGATGGAAAGGCTCAGAAATTCCAGATATTCCGAAACTTAAAATTAAATCCAGACTCCATGATCACCATGTGGTAATTTGGAAAAAACAAACAGACTGTTTGGTGAACAAAAAGACAATATTGTACCATGTTGCTGACCCTAAAGTTGACATGTTCCAGGATTGATTTATACTTATTTTTAGACTGTATTGTCAAATACGTAGATAATGAACACACTGGTTTCACATTTCTTCTTTTTGTTTCAACTCTCAGATAAACACTAAATGACCGATTTTATATTTAAAAAAAACACATTCTTGGTGTGATAGTCTGGTGAAATACATAAAAAATAAACACAGTATATCCCAAAATAAAAGCTGCCACCAAACATGAAGTTCAATGTTGTGTGTCTCAGGAATGAATGGGATTATACATCTGTGGGAATATGAAATGTAGGCAGCAGCCTGGCTGATGCAAGAATCCTTCACGACTGACAGGAAGGAAACCTGGCAGCTTCAAGCCGCTGCTTGACAAGGCGACAACATGGCAATGAGGGAAGCTGACATGAGATTTATGCTGCTTATATGAGAAACTGTGCCGAAGAGAATTCAGAGGACAAGGCCAGACTACTTTAGGAAACTCAAAAGAACATTTGCTATGCACTGCACCGAGTTAGAAAAAAAATTCTACTCAATTCAGTCATTTACTGCAGCCTAAAATATATACATTTTGGAAAGCATGAGCCACTATCAAACGCACACACACACACACACACACACACACACACACACTCAGAGCACAGTGTGTCTGTCTGTCCAGATTATGGAGATCATTGCGCACTAAACAGAGAAAGTTGTCATGTTTAATTTCACACTTTATCACTGACTACCGAGGCACAGACACACACGAATAATAATGCAACTAATTAGCCGGGTGCAGCTGCTATGCTAATGACTTGTGTTAAGCATATGGCAGTGTGAGATTACACTATCTCTCAGTGTGGACGAGTGTGTGTGTGTATGACGGGCAGAGACAGACAGACAGACCGAGAGAAACGGAGCCTGACGAGGAGCAGAGAGTGCGTGTGCATGCGTCTGTCCTGACAGCATGTGAATGTGTCTGGCATGCTAATTGGCTGAAGCTCGCTATGATCCGCCAGCGACTGTACAGCGGCGTCTCTGAGACACCGCTGTACGTGACAGTGTGTGTGATGTCCTTGCTGATATCTCTGTTTAGTGGCAGCGAGCAATTATTGTAGTGAAATTAGTGTTTCAACTTTGAGAGTGTTTAGCTGAGACTTTGAAGATCTTTATCTCACACCGTCTCTTTCAATCCTCCTTTTCTTTGTCTGCTGAACCACTCAGCGCAGATGAACTGTCCGGCCTCTCACTGGGATCAATCATTCAGCTGTCATTCTTCCAATACTCTCTTTAGCAGGTGACTGTGCTGACTGCTTGTTTTTGTTTTGTTGCAACACTTTCTGGAAATCCCTTGACGCTGTCGTGTTTCCAACCGACGGGAACTGGCAGGCTCACCCTCGATCTGTACTGAACCATGAACCATCCGCCCAACATCTCGGTGAACACCAACGCTCAAAGTGCACAGGGTTGATCCACTCACTGAAAATGATCCAAGAAAACCTTTGAGAGCAATTTAACGCGCCGCAAACACAGCATCATTGATGTACGTGGTGAGAAGTGTGCCTATTCGCACCTGTAGCTACCTACACCCAACAGTGATGTCACGGTGTCCTGGAGGACACTTCTACATCACTGCTGCAAAGTGACAAGTCAAACCATCAGAAGTCGACAAAATTAGATGTTTTTAGGAGGTTACTCTTTAAAGTGGATTCATTTTTTTGAATTTGACAAAACAATCCAAACACAAGAAGAGCTGAAATGATTCGTAAACCAATAGATTAGTTAATTGACAGACAATTAATCAGCAAGTATTTGATATTCAATTCATCTTTTAATATTTCTTTGAACTCCACCTTTGAGTGTCGTCGCTTAGAAATACTATTAACATTTGAATTTCTGATGTGGTCGGATGTCACGTCTTACAGACTTGTTTTGATGAAGCATAAGCAGGAAGTTGTGAAGGCCATTTTTCACTATTTTCTGAGATAAAATTTAGATCAGCAGATTAATTAGTGAATATATAAACTTTGGTTTTAGTCCAAAACACAGGTCCATCTGCTGCCTTTGTCCAAAGCTTTCAATAGAGTTGCCACCACAAAACAAAAAGAGAGGAACTCTGGTCGTATAAAGGGGTAGAAGACCATCCTCCAAACTTCATTTACAGATGAAGACCATGAGATGCAGTTGATTGCTTTGGAAAAAGCTAGTAAGCGGACCTTGAGTTTATTTTTGATCTTGTTCTGTTAAGCTATATTTTTAAGGCCAAGAGGTTTAGGTGACTGGCCACGATGTTTATGTGTATGATGTCAATCGCATCCATGATTGAGTTTGTCATTCAGTCAACTTGTCTTGAATAAAAATGATCTAACACACTTTAAAGAGCCTTGAAAAACTCTAAGAAAACCAGTTACTCAAATATTAAATTGAATAAGGTTTACGTGGTGCATTGCCACGTTTTAAATGCTTTTCAATGTGCCACAGTACCAGAAACTGGAGACATGCAAATATTCTGGTGACTGAATTACAAAGAGCTTTGATGCACTTCTCAACAACCTGAGCTTTCCCTCCTTCACGCTCCCTGCCACCACTTTCTTTCATGACTTTATCATCCTTCACTCTCCCATTCTCCTTCTTCTTCTTCTTGCGCGTGTGTGTGTGTGTGTGTGTGTGTGTGTGTGCGCTGTGGCTGATGTTGTGATACGCTGCGGTTGCTGTAATCCTGTAAAGTCACCCTGAAGATGAAATGCCCCCACTTCAACATTCAAATTGGATTCCATTTCCAGCGCTGCATCAGATAAGAGAGTGTGTGTTCAGCGTTCGCAGGTCACGGGCTTGTGAGGGAGGGGCGGCTGCTTTGAGCCGGGCTGACGATGAGAGCTGAATGAGAAATCGCGGCTCAGATGCTCCGTCTGCTGGGACTCTCCTGCTCCGCTCTACACTACCGGACTCTGAGACAATGCTCCTCAAAGCCGGGGCGGAGACGCATAGCTGGGTTTGTGGCGAGATTAAAATGCAATACAGGAATTATTTTGGATAGCTCCAACATTTGAAATTTGCATCACACCACTTGCTGTGTTGAATTATCTTCTCTTTCTCTGTGGATGTTTAAACATGGTTAAAGAGAGTGTCCATGTGTCCATGAGAGTGTCTACTGGTTATAGAGCTATGCCACTGTTTTACCACATCTCAAAGAGGAAATGATTATGGTTGTAGGAACATGACGTGGAATGCTTTCTGGATACATCACTGTGGTGTTCAGGGTCGGCCATGCACATGATTCACAGCTGGGATGTATTCGTCCTTTTCCTTCTCAAGCAGAAACAATGAGGTACTGAACTGACCCGGAGGTCTGGTCAAATATCCTGACTTGAATATGAAAAAAAACAACATATATTTGATTAGCTCCTTCGCTTAAAATACTCAAATAAATATCCTAAAGACTAGTATCTCATCCATTTGCGTCATTAACGTCATCATGTAGTTAAGGCAGAGTGTGGTTGTAGATGAGACAGTTTGGTTTCCTGTGTCCGTGTCATGTGGGTTTCACCACTGCCCCGCTCCTTTAGGAGACTAGCAGCAGGTCCTGAGTCTATTGACTCCAATGGGAACAAAGATTATGACCGATTTTCGTTCCATTGTCAAAAAAAGTAAATATTGGACCCAATTTTCACACAAGCCAAATATCTGCAGAACATTCTGACACTGAAATGGCATTTTTCAAACACACAAATCAGAATCAGGAAAACATTTACTTTGATCAAGACCTCTCTCTGTCTCAGCAACATACTCTGCCAGGTCTCTCAACACAGGTTGGCAAACTCCCTCGATAACTCATTTTTGTAATGCTGCTAGCTGTGTAAATATCTATGGTTAGCAAAAGAAAATATAAATACGTGATGTAAATATAACCCAATCTGCTTTCATCCATCCACACGATGTTCACAACAAACGAGGTGTGGGAGGCGTCCCCACTGAGGAGACAGGAAGTGTATACCATGTCAAACTACTGGCTGAGCTTATAATGAGTCATCTTTGTTATAGAGCATCTTTGGTTGTAGTGCATGATGGGTAGTGAAGTTTCCTACCTGGCGGCAGAGTCTCCAGGCCGTGAGTCTTGTCGTCAGACAAGTGAGCTTTGCTCCTACTGGATAAGTGACTGGAGCCCCAATCATCCTGAAACAAGCAGAGCAAACACACACACAGATAAGCAATGATGCACACAGTTTAATCTGAAAGCAAACAAACAGGAGAGCGGCTGAGACACATCTCATCCGAGACACCGGAAGCTGTTATGCTTTTAAAGATATCAATTAGAGCATTTTGGCTGTAAAATGTTCAGTATTATTTAGATAATCGCACCGCAAAACAACTAATCTTTTGTCTTAATCTCAACATACAAGTTTCACATGACTAACTCTTTTCACCATTCTGTTTCTTAGTTTGAAGAAAACTAACATGATGGAAACTTTCTGTTTAAGATGAGTTGTTTCTTTTCATAACAATAAAAACCACATTCGGCCAGAGTCTGCCTCAGCTGAGTCCACACAGGCTTAGGACTGCACAGTCGATCGAATATGACCCGCATCATGATTTTAACTTTGCACAGTTACTTTAACGTGATCGACTGCGATACCGACATTTAAATTGCTTGCTCCGCTTATAGAAAACGGCATATCAAATCAAGCACTTTCTAAACTAATGACCAGCAACTCCTTTCCTGAATGTTGTGCCTGCAGTCCGGAGTAGAAGAGCAATAGACTGTATGATATGCTACAAGTCTGCTCTCTGTTGTAGACGGGTGAAACATAAATGCACTGAATTCAGGTGGAGAAAAACCTTGTTTTAAATCTCATTTTGATGCTGATATTTGTTCATTAGCAGGAACATAGCACCACATGAAAGTGAAAGCATTTACTCTGTTTATTTATGTGTGAAAGTACAGTACAAATGTTTTGCCCCTAAAATCATCATGAATAATCATGTTAAATAATCGTGATCTCAACATTGATGGAAATAATCGGGATTATCATTTGTCCAGCGAACGTGATTCTATCACTGCAAGAACAGATCAAAGCGTCTAGCAGAGCACTGAATAATGAAATCAATTCATACACGTTTTAATCGCATTCAATCATAGAGTCACTCATCCACAGCCAGATGATCTGAGTACAAATACTTTGTTTCACTTCATTCACCGATTGCATCCTTGACAAGATGTGTGCAGTGACTTGGAGGTCTGGAAGCAGACCAAGTCATCCCTTCTTTCATTCACTCACCCTTTCATTTGCTCCTTTTATCAGGTCGTCATTCATTCACTCCACCGGTCCTCTGAGAGAGCACAGTTCATGGCCTTCACCATTTACACAAATGGACAGATGACCGAGCCATCCCTCCCCGTGTCCATTTATGTTCCCAGTAAAAGCCCCCGGATCGATACACTGCGAGGCAGAGGAATTAGTGCCGTTCAGTCACTGTCCAGTCTGCTGCCCTTGACTTGAAAACTATTGTCTAACCCCATTTGCTCCGTAGTTCCCTTTCACCCTCTCCAAGATGCTTTATTGATCGGTTGTCACGCTGTCTGCCAATGACAGTGTCACATTAGAGACCACCGCAAACACTATTCAACACTTCATTTCTACACCCGAGAGAAGCGATTAAGGGAACACGTTTTTTATTCATTTTTTTATGCTCGTTAAGCCTTTGCATTCACTTCTGGTTTTCTGTGACTCTCACATCGTTTCACTCTGTGCCAGCCTTTCCTTTCATCGACTGTGGACGGTGCGTCAAGCTGCTTTAAAAATATACCCATTGTTCAGTGACTGGAATATAAGATTAGATTGTCCACCAACACCTACAACTACTATAAAAAACCCTACATAAAATCAATTTCTATACGTGTTCATGACAACTGAGTGAACAGTCAAATGGTAATGCTCAGTGTAGGATGAAAACTAAAGCTGGCAGTATACTCTGCTGCAGAAATACAGTTTGACAGCCTCTCGGGGAAAAACAGGACACATTTACAAGTGAAATAAAGCTCCAAATTGGCTTTGGAATCTTGCTTCTTCGAGCTATTTTGTCTTTCTGACGTTTTACGGTCAACTCTTGTTGATGTTTCAAGGCTCTGCATTTTGAGCTGGTTGTAAAATCTCCTCCCCAATCTTGATGTGTTTTCACTGCTTGAGAGTGACACTAAACACGCAGCGAGTACACTCACATTTGCATCGTTTACGGTGGTGCGATTGTCAAATGTTGCAGGTGTAAGTAGAACACCACTGTAACATGATTGTAAGAGCCTTGAGCAAGAACAGACACCAAATTAAGTCAGCTAAAGTGCGTGTTTCTGTCTATCAGATCAGGTTGATCTCCTCCGTCTCCTCTGATCCTAAAGAAGCTTCCTCTGCTTCTTAACAGAGTCTACACTTCAGCCATCATTAAGTCGTTTATTTACACCTGTGCTTTTCCTGCTGAGGCATTTAAAACGTGTCTATAGGCCATAATAGCAATCCTGCAGCTGGCACACTTGCATGTAATTAATGTTATTAGTAACACCCGTGTTCGACAAGTCAGAGTGTTCTCTATTAAAGAAGCGCATCAGCTACATGGGAGCACTGCATCATTTGAATTCAGCATTTAGGTCTGAACTTATAGTTAAGCCATAATACGTTTTTTCATAATTCAGGCAACAACCTAAGTTTACTTCCATTACCAGCTCTGTGTAACTTTTGATCGGTACGATAGTTTGAGCAGCTGCTCTCAATTTACAATAAATGTATGAGAACATTTAAATGACAGACAGCTGGCTGAACAAGCAGCCAACCGCCTGTTGAATATCGCCGACTTTATTTTGACAGTCTCTCAACGCTCAGCGGTACAGTGACGCCTTGCACACCACTTTCTCTTCCGTTTCTCTTTCTCTTGACTGCCCAGATTTAAAACATCATATGAATATGTCAAAAATGTTAATGAGCTAAATTTAATTTGGGAAATAAAAATCAGTTTCGAGTCCCACGCCTTTCGTTTGCCTGTATCCTCAATGAAGAGCTGGGAACAGATCGATGAGTAATTTCCCCCGCTGTGCTTGTAAATACCAAATATTTATTTTATGACTGCAGCTCTACGTTCCACTTTTACTCCTTTTAACTACAGAAATTCATCATATAGCTTTTTTTCATTTAATGACCAGATTGGTAAGAAGAACACGGTCACGACAGTTACAAGAAACTGGAGCTCAACACGATCGAATAAAAGTAAAGAAGAGCAAATTGAAAAAAAAAAAAGGGTAATGTGAGAGAAATGACATCTGCATCCGTGCTGCTGGCTTCCCATATAATGCCCCCTGTGATTTATCGGTATTGCAGTCCATCATCACCGATCGTATCACGAAAGAAAGCATTAGCTTTTTAGAAGACGACAGCAATGCAGTGCCTTATGGATCAGTACGCGCGATTGATCAACAAATGGTTGCTGCAATAAATATGACTTATCACTGATTGAAATGTAATATAAAAGGGTAAGTAGAGAGCGGTAGGAGAGATATCTTTATAACTCACATCACATGAATGGCTTTGAAAACCTCTTAGTGATAATGGTCCCAGCCGGTATCTGCCTCTCCTCCAAACACAAACATGATTGATTAAAACTGTGCACACACACAAAAAGGGACAAAAAACACACACCCCGAGCTACAAACAGAGATACTGGAAAACTAAGACGGCACAGTGTTTTAAGCGTTAACCCCTTAACATCCAGTTTCCCCACTTTTTCCCCTTCAGGTGTCTGACAGCTTCATTCATTCTGTAGCGCCTTTAGGGCTGAGCAATATATCAATATCCAACGTATCCTCATACAGCAGTTCGTGTGATATCTAACAAAAAGTTACTCCTCATTTTTGTGCATTTTCCTATGAAAGTCAACGCCATCTGTCAGTTTACGCTCGTTACATGCATACAGTCTTTTCAAAATAAACTTCCGTCTTCACAGGAAACAACTTAGTTCGGTTTAGGAGATCGTTGGTTGGGTTAAACTAACTACGGAAGTGCCGTTACTGAAGTACGCAAGCTACGGGACGAATAAATTAACATTGAACTTACCAGACGGTTGCCAGATTTGTCTTTACCCACTTTGTCATAGTATCCACATATATGATGATAATTTATCAAAAATGTTATTGTGAAAATATTTTGTAGAAGCACCAGTAGTCAATCCCACAATATCATCACATTATCAATATCAAGATATTTGATCTTCTCCACATCCGCCAGCCCTGATCACCATCTTCTAGCTCTTCATTGAAGTTATAGTGTTTACATATTGTCAGAATTCAAAGAGGACTCCACGTCTGTGATGAACAAAGTTTGTCTGCACAGCATTAGTTTGTAATGACCGACCCATCAGCTGGTCAGTGTTTGAAGGAATAGTTAGACATTTTGGGGAAATACGCCTACTTGTTTGTTTACAGCGTGATGGATTAGATTGATACAACTCTCATGTCTGTGCGGTGAACATGAAGCTACATCCAGCCGCTTAGCTTAGCATGATAGCTTGAAATGGGGGGAAACAGTTAGCCTAGCTCTGAACATTTAATTTTCCTTTTCTCCCTGCTGAGTCCTTCCCCGTCTGTATCTTTCTCCTTCTCATCTCTCCGTCCGTCTTTCTGTACCCCATTCCTTCCTTCTCTCTGTCTTTCACATCTCTTTCTCCCTTTGGCAACCGTTTGCTGAGTATGCCAACTAACAGATGGTCATGACACATACAGGCAAATAGACACACTTCATACACACATTGAATTTCAAAAAACACACACACACAAAGACCCACTCATGCTCATTCAGAGGACAGTCGAGTCGTCTGTCACTGTGGTGTAAAGCCAGTTTCTGTCCCGCTCTGTGGTCAGTGAGAGAAGAGCTGAAGTTAATCTCAGAAATGCTCCACTGCGAAAAGATAATGTTATAAAGGCATGTAGAGGGTGGCTTTAACTATCTGTGTGAGGGTAGGTATAGCTCCTTTTCATTTGGTTATCTTTTAGTCTTGTTTAATCTGCATTTTTTTAGGATTTTCTCCAGTGTCGGTTGGCTTGTTTTTCTGGTTTGAGCCACCTGACAACTCTGGTGGGTGTTCCTGTCCCCGCGGTGTGTGTTTATCTTTAGCTTTGTTGTTGGTTTATGTACGGC